ATATCCAATATGGCCATAAGTGGCATTTTGAAAGAAGCCAACCAAATAAATGCGAATTAAAAATATAAGAAATAATAGAAGAAAGCATCTAGAACACTGATACAGAATTGCCAACAAGATATATTCCAATGAAGTTACCGCTCTTCAAAGATAAAGAATTTAGTTGGGCAAACCAGAAAGGATCAAGTCATGTGGAAAGGGGGAAAAGGCAGTCTTGAAACTTCTCCACAGCTGCATTCAAAACTAGAAGCCGATAGATCTATGTTTCAAGAGAAGAAAGTTTAACATAAGAATTTTAAACCCAGCTATCTTTTAAGAACAAAGGCAAAGACGAATACTTTCTAACATGCAAGAATTCAGTGACTTTAGCCCCCATGAGCCTTTAAGACAAAACATGACTTAGAACTAGTACTGAGTATTGAATCCACTCAAATATAGCACAACATTAAGAAATTGTGAGAATTATGGTTATAGGATTTGGCATAAATGTTATAAATTTTGAAAATATAGAAATTATTTCTAATAAAAATCAAGAGGTGAAAAAGACGAAAGCATATGGGAAAAGGTAAAAGTAGGCTGCTTTCTTCCTTTTTTAGCAGGAAATAAATAGATATTGTCAAATCAAGAAAGAGAACTGTAAAAATACTAGAGTTACAATGCTAACCAACAAAGAGAAATAAAAAGAAACTATGACCTTTTCAAAATATGAGCAATGTAATGCATTTTTAAAAGAAAATATAGACCAGGGATCAAAAGAAAAGAAAGCAATTAAAAGAGAACATTTGATAACATGAAATTAGATAACAGAGCTAAGACAAACATACTTGTCATATGAATATATAAATGTGATAAATAATTCTATAAAAGAAATAGAGAGATTTGGGACCTCAAAATGAAACCTGGTAGATTTTTACATATATTACATACAAGAAATAATTCTAAAACAATATGACCTAAGAGATAAGTTAAAGTGATGATAACAGCATACCAGGAAGACAAACAAACACGTACATTAATATCATGAAATTAATTATGACAGTAATATCAAATCTAATTCAAAGTAAAAGAATACTATTAAATCGGACCAAAAGGGCACAATATAAGGATAAAGAGTATAATCTGCAATGAAGATTAGTTATGAATTTCCATACAACAGATCACATAATTTTACAATTTATAAATTGACCAAAAGTAAGTATTATGTGAGAGTACAGAAGATCTATGTAACATTTAAAAAGCTGGCTATAATAAATACATGTAAAACTTTCTATCCTGAAGATAAAGAATACATCTCCTTTTTAAAGGTCCACAGAATACATAACAACAACAACAACAACAAAAGACTGTATTAGGTCACAGAGAAAAAAGTCTCAACAAATTCCAGAAAGTAGAATATATATATACTCCATACTCTTGGACTAAAATGAAATGATTAATAAAGTGTCATTACTAATAGCAAAAATAGAAAAAGAAAAATTTACCACCTGGATATTTGAAAACTCTTTAAAAATTCCTGTTTCAAAGCGGAAACCAAAACTGAAATTATAAACTATCTAGAACATGCTATAATGAAAAGACTGTATACGAACTTACAGAATATGACTAAAGCACAGAAGAAAATTCATAACCCTTAGCATTCACATTACTAAATAGGAAAAATGAAAATAAACATTCAATTTAAAAATTTAGAAAAAAATATACCTAAGGAAAGCAGAAATTTACAAATTAGAAAACAAGAAAAAGAACTATAATTAAATTCAAGAGCTGATTATTTTGAAATAAATATATAGAAACAAATACCACGGAAGAAAATATAGAATTGTCCTCACATAAGAAAGGAAATCTAAACATATAAATTTTCACAGTAGAAATTTAGACAGTTGCCAAGGAACAACCTTATAAAAAACCATCAGTACAAGATAGTTTCACAGCTAACTTTTCCTAATTTTCAAAGAATGATAATTACAAAGCTATTTAAATGGTCCTGGAGCACACAAAAAATAGAAGGAGCCTTCCTTAATATGATAATGATTATATATCTCAAGACAAAAGTCAGATTCACGTTTAATGGAGAGTACTAAAATAATTTCCAGTAAGTCTGGAAAAAAGCATGGTAGTTTAGAATTGTTCTGGTAGTATGTTTCAGTCAGGAGATGATAGTTTACGCTGTGGTAACAAACAATTCCAAAAATTGAATGACTCATCACACAAAAGTTTATTTTTAATTCAACTTACGTGTCCAACTTGAGTGAGGAGCAGATTCTGTTCCAGACACTCAGAGACCCAAAATGGTGAAGCTGATAGAGGCTTCACCATTTTGTACCTGCACTGTCTGGATGTATGGGTTATTTGGATCCTGAGGCAAGGGAGGTGATGAACAGACATAGCACACCTACTCTTGTATATTTCAGCCTTGAAATAATGTAGACCACTTTAATTCACAGCCTATTGGACACATCTAGTTATGTTGCCCTCTACTATATGGGAACTTGGAAATGTGGAGCATATGGCTACTCAGTGAGCAGTAAAAGTGTGCCACATAGTACTAGCCAATGAATAATAATCAAGAGAAATAAAACATTAGAAAAATTAGAAAGAAAAAGGTAAAATTAAAACATACATCCATAACAAGCAGAAGATATGCCATAAAAGAAATCAAGAGCTGAGGTAGACTAAAATTAGTAAAGATGCAGATTTGAATGACATGATTAATAAGCGTGATCTAATAAGAAAAATAAACCTTAAGACATGAGGCTGGCCGTGTGGCAGAGTGGTTAAACTCAGCGCAGTCTGCTTTGATGGCACGGGTTTGCAGGTTCATATCCCGGGTACGGACATACGCCACTCATCAGCCGTGCTGTGGCAGTGAGCCATGTATAAAGTGGAGGAAGATTGGCACAGATGTTAGCTTAGAGCAAATCTTCCTCAAGCAAAAACAGGAAGATTGGCAACAGATGTTAGCTAAGGGTTAATCTTCCTCAGCAAAAGAAAAAAAAAAAAGGTGCATATAACCTTCAACTCGATGGGGACAGACGCTCCTGCACTTGGGACTCTTTCGGACCTTGCCCTCTGTACTTCTTCATCTGGCTGCTCAGTTGTATCCTTTATAATAAAACAGTAACTGTAAGTATAAAAAAAAGTGAATATAAACCCTCACATTATACACAAAAATCAATTCCATTGATATTATGGATATAAAGTAAAGGTAAAATAAATAAAATTTCTAGAGAATAACTTCGGAGAATGTCTTTATAACCTTGGTGTAGAAAAATTCCTTAGAAGGGATGGAAAAAGCTATAATCATAAAGGAAAAGATTGGTAAATTGGACTACATCAAGGTTAGAATGGTTGTTCATCAAAAGGCATTATCAAAGAGCGAAAAAGCAAGCCACAGATAAGGGGAAGACATTTGCAATACATATCCCAAAAAAGGATCCATAGCCACAGTTTTAAAAGATCTACAAAACAAATGAGAAAGATTGAAACCAATAGAAAAATGGGGAAATATTCAAGTAGACATTTCACATAAAGAATATCTAAATCATCGATTAAAATATGGAAAGATGCTCAATTGCATAATTCACCAAGGACATGAGATTTAAAACCACATTGAGATAATCCTAGCAGAACGGCTAAAATTTACAATACTATAATACCTATGTCAGCAAAGATTTTAGAGCAATGAGGACTCTCACACACTGGTTGGTGGGGTGTGAATTCACATTGGAAAATAATTTAGTAGTACCTTCTAAACTGAATGTATGCAAACCTTACAAGCCAGGAATTCTACGCCCAGGTATATACCCAATAGAAATGTGTGCACGTGTGCTTCAAGAGACATATACAAGAATATTCATAGCAGCACTCTTTGTATTATCTCGAAAAGCATGTAAAGGCTCCTTGTTCTCCTTGAAGTCCTCCTGCTGGATTGAGATGGATTAACCTCTATTTACTCTTATATGCTTTGCTTGTCTCGGAGTGCAGTAGGTCAGATGTGACATATTATATGTAATGTGATGTAGATTTGTAGTTATGAAATTAAATTTTCCCTTAGGAAGGCCAAAGTATGGACCCAGAAAGAAAGGGTAGGAAAAATTATTTGAAAGGAAGAAACTGGCATTCCTCATAGCAGCTGTCTTAGGGATCTTGGTTGACCAGTATGACAGGATGAAAATGTGACTTTTAAAAAGTTATAAAATCAATACACTCACATAGTAATTTTTAAAAAAGCTTTGCTTTGGCCCTGTGGCTTGGCGGTTAAGTGTGTGAGCTCCGATGCTGGCTGCCCGGGTTCGGATACCAGGCGCGCACCGACGCACCGCTTCTCCGGCCATGCTGAGGCCGCGTCCCGCATGCAGCAGCTAGAAGGATGTGCAACTATGACATACAACTATCTACTGGGGCTTTGGGGGAAAAATAAATTAAAAAAAAAAAAAAGCTTTGCTTTTTAAATGAAATGTCTCCTTCCCATCCATAGTTCTTAAATGTAACCACTATTTCAGGTATACTTTCCAGGGGAAAGAAAGGATACTTACATCAGTTTATATACACATATATTCTATTTTTTACATCTACCCCAACGGCATAATAGTACAAATACCAATCTACTCTCAGTTTTTTCTCTTCACATTGATGGGGAGGGTCTTGCCTTCTTACATGTGCAGATCTACCTCATTCTTAATGGCTCCATTGCATGTCTTTGTATTGATGTATCAGAATATTCTTAAACAGTCCCATGTCCGTGATCTTTTATGTGGCTTCCAGTGTTTTGGCAATTATTAATGATGCTACAATAAAAATTCTTTTAGAGCTATCTTCATACACTTACTTTCCTTAAGGTAATTTCCCAGCAATAGAAAATGCAGGGTCAAGGGTATGCACTTTTTAAAAATCCTAACATGTATTTTCTCACATTGATCATAGGCCAGGAAACTTTGATTAGTAGTTAAAAATGGGTACTTCCACTTCCTTCTTTCTAATTCACTAACGCATCCTGCTCTTCGAAAAACCAATTTCTCAGATGTGCTCCTTGGGGCTGGTGTGACAGTGCGACACTGTAAGACCAAACCTGAGAAAACCTCTCTTTTGGTCCCAGCCCTGGGCAGGCCAGGACTTCATGCTGCTGTGGGTGTCACTGCTGGTCCTGGGTGAGTAGAACGGCTTGACATGGGCTTTGGGTGGGGTAGGGACAGCCTCTCTCTCCACCACGGGCCTGGCCCTTTCTCGGGGCTCAGAGGTTCTTTCCTGCCTGGGGAGATTACATTCTTGGGCTTCACCATAAAGCTCAGGGATTCCTCCCTTGAGACTGAAGGAGTGGTCAGAGCTGGAGTAAACCTTCAACCCTACAAAGAAAGAAACCACAGTGACCACAACTGTTAAGGGTCTATTGTTTTTTTTTTTTCTACAAAAAATATTACTTCGTGAAGTCCAGAAAATTGATTATGTTTGCTCGTTCATATTGTATTATTCAGAGAAGACCTTGTATGACCAGCCTAGATCCTGATGCTAGCCATGGGAAGGCAAAGTTGCTAACATAAAGATGTCTCCTTCTTCTGCACACAAACGCAAACCACAGCAGTGAGTGGCAGATGAAGAACACAGGGAGGGGGAGGAGAGGACGGGGACACAGAGGGGGAAGTGAGTAAGGCAAGGGACAAACCTAAGACACGTGACATTCTGTCTTTTTCCTCCTAGGTTTATTAAAGTATAATTGACAAATTAAAATTGCACATATTTAAGATATACAAGATGACGTTTTGGCACACATATATTATGAAATAGCTACCACAATCAATCTAATTAACATTTCTACCACTTCACATAGTTGCCTTTTGTGTGTGTATCTGGCGAGAACACTCAGGATCTACTCTCTTAGCAAATTTCAAGTATAGGTTAGTATTAACTACAGTCACTATGCTGTACATTAGCTCCCCAGAATTTATTCATCTTACGACTGAAAGCTTGTTTCCTTTGACCAACGCCTCCCCTGTTCCCCAACACCCCACCACTTGGCAAACACTATTTTATTCTCTATTTCTGTGAGTTCAACTTTTTTTAGGTTCCACATATAAGGGAGATCACACAGTATTTGTCTTTCTCTGTCTGACATTTCACTTAACATAATGTCCTTAAGGTTCATCCATGTTGTGGTAAATGATAGGGTTTTCTTCTTTTTTTAAGGCAAAATAATATTCCACTGCATATATATTCCACATTTTCTTTATCCATTCATCCATCAGTAGACATTCAAGTTGTTTCCATATTTTGGTTATTGTGAATGATGCTGCAATGAACATGAGAGTGCAGGTATCTCTTCAAGATCCTGATTTCAATTCTTTTCGATATATACCCAGAAGTAGGATTGCTGGATCATATGATAGTTTTGTTTTTAATTTTTTGAGGAACCTCCTAACAATTTTTCATAATGGCTATACCAATTTACATTCCCACCAACAGTATACAAGGGTTCCCTTTTCTCCACATCCTCACCAACGCTTGTTATCTTTTGTCTTTTAGATAATAGCTATTCTAACAGGTGTGAGGTGGTATCTCATTGTGGTTTTGATTTGCATTTCCTTGTTGATTAGTGATGTTGAGCATCTTTTCATATACTTGTTGGCCATTTGTATGTCTTCTATTGAGAATATTTATTCAGGTTCTTAACTGTTTTTTAACCAGGTTATCTCTTACTGTTGATTTGTTAGTGTTCCTTATACGTTTTAGATATTAATCCCTTATCAGATATGTGGTTTGCAAACATTTTCTCCCATTCTGTAGGTTACCTTTTTGTTCTGTTGATTGTTTCCTTTGCTGTTCAGAAGCTTTTTATTTTGATGCAATCCTATTTGTCTATTTTTCTTTTGTTACCTGTGCTTTTGGGGTCATATCCAAAAAATCATGTCCCAGATCAGTGCCAAGAAGATTTTCCCCTTATTTTCTTCTAGTAGTTTTATAGTTTCAGGTCTTATATTTAAGTCATTAATCTATTTCGCTCTGATTTTTGTACATGGTGTGATGTAAGGGTCCAATTTTATTTTTTTTAGGATGGATATTTAGTTTTCCCAGCACCGTTTATGGAAGAGACTATCTTTTCCCCATTATGTGTTCTTGGCATCCTTGTTGTAGATCAGTTAACTGTAAATGTGTGGATTTATTTCTGTGCTCTCTATTCTGTTCCATTGCTCTATATGTCTATTTTTATATCCGTTTTTAATTACTATAGTGTTGGAATACAGTTTGAAGTCAGGAAGTGTGATACCTCCAGTTTTGTTCTTCTTGCTCAAGATTGCTTTGGCTTTTCAGGGTCTTTTGTGGCTCCAGATGAGTATAAGAATTTTTTCCTATTCCTGTGAAAAATGCCTTTTGAATTTTGATGGGGATTGTATTGAATATGTAGATCGCTTTGTGTAATATGGACGTTTTAACAATATTAATTCTTCCAAACTATGAACATGGTATATGTTTCCATTTATTTGTGTCTTATTCAATTTCTTTCAACAATGTTTTGTAGTATTCAGTATAAAGATTGTTCACTTCCTTGGTTAATTTTATTCCTAAGTGTTTTATTCTTTTTTCTGCTATTGTAAGTGGGATTGTTTTCCTAATTTCTTTTTCAAATAGTTCATCGTTAGTGTACAGAAATGCAACTGATTATTGTACACTGATTTTGTATCCCGAAACTTTACTGAATTCATTTATTAGTTCTAACAGTTTTTTGGAGTAGTATTTAGAGTTTTGTCTATAAAAGACCATACCATCTGCAAACAGAGACAAGTTTTACTTCCTAGTTTCTGATTTGAATGTCTATTTCTTTTTCTTGCATAATTGCTCTGGCTAGGACTTCCAGTACTACATTGAATAGAAGTGGCTAGATTGAGTATCTTTGCCTTGTTTCTGATCTTAAAGGAAAAGCTTTCAGCTTTTCACCACTGGGTGTGATGTTATTTGTGGGCTTGTCATATATGGCCTTTACTGTGTTAAGATAATTCCCTTCTATACCTAATTTGTTGAGAGTTTTTGTCATGAAATCATGTTGAATTTTGTCAAATGCTTTTTATGCACCTACTGAGATGATTGTATGATTTTTAGCCTCCATTCTGTTAATGTGGTGTATCACATTTATTGACTTGCATATGTTTGGTCTCGTTGCATCCAGGGATAAATCCCACTTGATCATGGTGTATGATCTTTTTAATATACTGTTGGATTCAGTTTGGTAGTATTTTGTTTTAGGATTTTTGTGTCTATGCTCATCAGAGTTATTGGCCTGTAATTTTGTTTTCTTGTAGTGTACTTGTTTGGCTGACCTTATAAAGTGCGTTTGGAAGTGTTCTCTCCTCTTCATTTTTTTGGAAGAGTTTGAGAAGGATTGGAGTTAATTCTTCTTTAAATGTTTGGTAGAATTCAGCAAGAAAGCCATCTGATCCTGGGCTATACTTTTTTGGGGGGGCTGGTTTGTTTAATGATTCAATCTTCTTACTTGTTAGTGGTCTGTTCAGATTTTCTGTTTCTTCATAATTCAGCCTTGGTAGGTTGTATGCCTCTAGAATTTTATTGATCTCTTCTAGGTTATTCAATTTGTTGGTGTATAAAGTTCATAGTGGTCTCCTTGATTGTTTATACTTCTGTAGTATCATTTGTAATGTCTCCTCTTTCATTTCAGATTTTATTTGTTTCTTCTTTTTTTCTTAGTCTAGCTAAAGGTTTGACAATTTTATTTATCTTTTCAAAAAACTAACTCTTTGTTTTGTTGATCTTTTCTATTGTTTTTTAAATTCTCTATTTGATTATTTCTGCTCTAATGTTTATTATTTCCTTCCTTCTGCTAACTTGGGGTTTCTTTTTCTAAATCCTTGAGATATAAAGTTAGGTTGTTTGTTTGAAAGCTTTCTTTTGTTCTTAATGTAGGCATTCAATTGCTATTAACTTCCCTCTTAGAGTTGCTTTTGCTATATTTCATAAGTTTTAGTATGTTGTGTTTCCATTTTTGTTTCTCTTAAGATATTTTCTGATTTTCCTTTTGATTTCTACTTCGACCTATTGTTTATTTGGGAGTGTGTTGCTTAATTTCCACTTATTTGTGAATTTTACAGTTTTCATCCTGTCATTGATTTCTAGTTTCATACCATTGTGGTGAGAAAATATACTGATATAATTTCAATCTTCTTAAATTTGTTAAGAATTGTCTTGTGACATAACACAGGATCTATCCGGGAGAGTGTTCCATACTCACTTGAGAATAATGTGTATCCTTCTACTGTAGGATAGAATGTTCTGTATGCATCCATTAGGTAGACATATTAGATATATAGACTATTGGGTCTACAGTGTTGTGCAACTCTGCTGTTTCCTTAATGATTTTCTGTCTGAATGATCTACCCATTGTTGAAAGTGGGATATTGAAGTCCCCTACTATTATTATATTGTTATCTATTTCTCACTTCAGTTCTGTCAATATCTGTTTTATATATTTAGGTGCTCTAATATTGGGTACATATATGTTTATTATTGTTAAATCCTCTTGATGAATTATCCCCTTTATCGTTATATAATGACCTTCTTTGTCTCTTGTTACAGTTTTGAGTTAAAATCTATTTGTCTAAGAGTAGAGTCACTCCTACTCTCTTTTGGTTACCCTTTGCAGAATATCTTTTTCCATCCCTTCACTTTCAGCCTATATATGTCCTTAAAAATATAAAGTGAAACTCTTATAGGCAGCATATAGTTGGATTTGTTTTTTTATGCATTCAGCTACTCTATGTTTTTTATTGGGAAATTTCATCCTTTTACATTAAAAGTAGTTATTAATAGGTAAGGACTTACTATTGCCATTTTGCGAATTGTTTTCTCACTGTTTTATAGTTCCTTTTTTCCTTTCTTCCTTTTCTATTGTCCTCCTTTGTGATTTGATGACTGTTTTGTGGTGGTAATGCTTTGATTGCTTTCTCTGTATCTTTTGTGTATCTACTACAGTTGTTTTATTTGTGATTACCTTGAGGCTCACTGAGAAATCTGATAGTTAAATAGTCAGTTTAAACTAAGAACTTTACTTCCGTCACATATAAAAACTCTACACTTTTCTTCTCTTACCTTCACATGTTGTTATTGATGTCACAATTTATATACTTTTATAGTACGTATACATTAACAAATTATTGTAGTTATAGTTATTTTTAATAGTTTTGTCTTCTTTAACTTTTATACTAGGGTTAAACATTATTTACATACCACCATTATAGTATGCTATGTTCTGAATGTTTTCTTCCACAAAAAATTCATATGTTGAAGTCCTAACCCTTAAAGTGATAGTATTAGGAGATGAGGCCTTTGGGAGGTGATTAGGTCATGAGGGCAGAACCCTCATGAATAAGATTAGTGCCCTTATAAAAGAGATCAGAAAGAGCTTTTTCATCCATTCTGCCTTGTGAGGTTACAGTGAGAAGATGATTGTCTATTATGAAGTGGATTATTACCAGAGATAATTATGCCAGTACCTTGATCTTGTACTTTCCAGCCTCCACAACTGTGAGAAATAAATATATATTGTTTATAAGCTACCCAGTCTATAGTATTTTTGTCATAGCATCCTGAATGGACTAAGAAATAGGATTAGAGTGCTCTGAATTTGACTACATATTTATCTTTACCAGAGAGTTTTATAATTTTGTATGTTTTCATGTGCTAATCAGTGTCTTTTCATTTCAACTTGAAGAGCTTCTTTTAGTTTTTCTTGTAAGACAGGTCTAACAGTGGTTAACTCCCCCAGCTTCTGTTTGTCTTGGAAAATTTTTATCTCTCCTTCATTTTTGAAGGAAAGCTTTATCAGGTATAGTATTTTGGGTTGGCAGTTTTTTCTTTCACTATTTTGAATATATCATCCCACTCTCTCTTGGCCTGTAATATTTCTACTGAGAAATCCACTGTAAATCTTACTGGGGTTGCCTGGTATATGATGAGTCATCTTTCTCTTGTGATTTCAAAATTCTCTTTTTGTGTTTGACTTTTGAGAATTTTATTACAATGTGTCTTGGTTTAGACCTTTTGATGTTCAACTTATTTTGGGGTTCTTTGGGAATCGTGGACCTTGGTGTTCATTTTCCTCCTCAGACTTGGGAAGTTTTCTGTCATTGTTTCTTTACATAATCTTTCTGCCCTTGTTCTTTGCTCTTTCTGGGACTTCAGTAGTGTTTATACTGGTTTTTGTAATGGCACCTATAAGTCACCTAGGCTTTCTTACTCTTTTTCATTGTTTTTTCTTTTTATTCCTCTAACTGGATAATTTCAAATGACTTGTCTTCGAGTTTGTTGATTCTTTCTCCTACATGATTGATTATGCTGTTGAAAGTCACTATTAAATTTTTCAGTTCAGTCATTGTATTCTTCAGCTCCAAGATTTCTGTTTGGTTCTTTTTTATGTTTTCTATTTCTTTGTTAAAATTCCCATTTTGTGTATGTATTGTTTTCCTGACTTCATTTAGTTGTCCTTGTTCTCTTATAGCTCATTGAGCTACTTTAAGACAATTATTTTGAATTCTTTGTCAAGCAGTTCATGGATCTCCATTTCTTTAGGGTCAGTTACTAACATCCTATTAGTTTCTTTGATGTTGTCATGTTTGCCTGACTCTTCATGATTTGTGCAGCCTTGCATCAGTGCCTGTGTATTTAGAAGAGCAGACATTCATCCAGTCCTTACAGACTGGTTTTGGCAGATAAATATCTTCTCCCACTGCTTCCCTTGACTTATAGGACTGCCTCCAGGATCACGGTTGAGCAGGGCTAGAGTTGGGTCTTGTGGCTGTTGCTGGGTCTGCAGTTGGGTCCACAGTTGGCAAGCTGTTACCAGGAGCATGGATGTGTGTGATTTCTCTTGGGTCTCAGTATGCTCTTGTTGGGTCTCTTGGCTGGTCCTTGGGCAGCAAGGACTACATTTGGACTGCAGTAGAGTGGGACTGGAGCCAGGTCACAGGATTGCTTCAGCAACAGCAGTCAGGTCTGAGGTCGGTGGGCATGTTACCAGGGCACAGATGGGCATGGTTCCTCTTGCGTCCCACGGCAGAAGGGGCTGGTGGCAGAAACATGGACAAGCAGGGCTAGAGTCGAATCCACAGGGGGATGGGACAGCTTTCACATTGCAGCTGGGATTATAATCAGTGGTCCTGCCGCCAGGGCACATACCTGCCTTCTCAAAGTGGCTGTCCTTCGTCTTTGGCTCCACTGGGGTTTCACAATCCCCTACTTGGATCTCAGATATTCCCACTTTTGTCTATAGATTGCTGCCAAATATTTGTTTCTGTCAGGGGGAACAAAAGGTGGAGACCTCCTATTCCTCCATCTTGCTCATGTCACTCCCAGCACACGACATTCTAATTATGCCTGTGAGTGTGCATAAGTCTCTATCAATTCATACATATAAACAGGTTGTTTGTTACCAAAGTTGAAAATATTAGAATAAAATATATTTATTCATTTGTTCACCAAAATTTTTTAGTAACATTTATGCACAGCACTGTACTAGGTGCTGAGAATAATGGGAAGATGCGGGAGGCAGTATTTCTGTGCTCAGGAAGCTCATTATATAGAAGGGCCCCCAGCAAGGTCAACGTACAAGAAACAGCTGTGTAACAAGATCACGGTTAAATAATTGTCCAGGAAAATTTACCAGTGATGGTGCAAGCAGATAATAAACTATCTGCAAGTAGCTGGTAATGACTTTATGAAACAGAGAGAAAGTGGGAGCTGGAGGGGGCAGGAATGGAGTGGAGCACAAGGTAATAAAAAAGGACGCTCTAGTTGGAAGCTGCATGAAATACTTCAGAAATAGGAAGCACATCCCATTGTAGCACCAATACAGAAAGGCAGAACAGGGTAATGGACAGGAGCATGCACTTTGGAGTCAAACAGGATGGGTTTAAACAAATGGGCTCAAAACTCCATCCTGTCACATACTATCTACTTAACCAGTTTCTCATCTGTAAAATGGGGATAATCATAGAACTTATCTCATAGGGATATTGACAAGATTACATGAAATAATATATGTGAATGTCTACCACATAGAATACACTCAGAAAAATATAAACTACATTTAAAACAATACAAAATCCATTGTGACCAAGATATCTAGGTATTGGCAAATAATCCATTGTTCCCTATAAAACACTTAGGTTTAGATTGCTCCTCCATCAGCCAGCCCCACGTGGACAGGGACAATCTCTCTCTCTCTCTCTTTCACTGCTGGATTTCCATTGCCTTGTCCAGTTCCTGGCACGTGGTTGGCATTCCAAAAATTTTTGTTGAATGAATGAACAATCTGTCCCTCATCTGGAATGTCTGATCAATTTATAAACTTGCCAATTTTGCCTCCTTTCTCTCCCCATTACCCATTTCTCAAACCTATATCCTCCCTTCTCTACTTACTGACCTAGTTCTCTAATTGATTACATAATGAACAAATATTTACGAAATATCTCATATGTGCCAGGCACTGTTATAGGTCCTGGGGAACACATAGTGAACGCAGGAGAAGTCCCTGATCTCACAGAATTTCTACTCTAGAGAGGGAGAAGTAAACAAAGTAAACAAGTAAGTAATTTAGGTAATTTCAGATAAACACTCTGAAGAAAATTAAACACTATCTTCTCTTGCCTGCCTTCTAACAAGTCTCTCTGCTTCACATCTGGTCTCACTGAAGCCTACTCCCTGACAGAGTGATCCATCTAAATTACAAATTCTAACCTTGACACTCTCTTACTTGAAACCTTCCATGGATCTCCATTGCTTTCGTAACAAAATCTGAGCTACTTACCATCCATGACTTGGGCCCTGCATGCCTCTCTAATCTGATTTCTCCCACTACTCCCTACTTTCCAGACCCCCCCCAACTCCTGAACACCAATGCTATTTCTTCACTTTTGTGCCCTTTCTGCCTTGATTACCCTCCCCATCATCTCTTGCCATCCACAAACACCTTTTAAAACTGTATAGGATGCAATATTCCTGCAGGTATCTCCACAACGTGATGTTTTCAGAGGAGTTTTTCTGGCTTGCTGATTGGAGAACATCCTATCCTAAGCCCTGCACATTGTTCTCATTCAGTTTGCTCAAACATCACTTCCTTCAGGTACATCTCATGGTTCACTCACATTTTTCACCACACATACACACACCATACACACTGGGATGGGTGGCCATTCTGTGTATTCTATTACTGCATTTACACCTGTATGACAGTTCTATTACTTTGCTTCATGTTTCTGTTTCCCCCACCAGTCAACTTCTTACTAGCAGATACCACTTTTCATTCATCTTAGAGGTCCAAGCACAATGCCTAAGGTACATAGACATTTAATAAATGACTATTAAATTTTAAAAAATGAATTTTTAATGAAAGAAATAATAAATGGACAGAAAAAATAGGCGTTATTTTTGAAAAGCCAAAGAATTCTTGCCATGTGCTTATCTTTGGTTCTTTATTTCTTTATTTATATTTTGCAGCTCCTGTCAGTGGACAATTTGGTGAGTTCTCCTTTCTTTTGCTCTTCAGTGTCTCTGGATTAGAACGTCTCCCTGATAAATATGAAACATTTGTAACAGCTGTTTGAGGATCCCCAATATCTCCTGTTTTTCTTGCCAAGACCAGCGGAGATGTGAAAGTGTCACCTGGTCTATTGACATTGCCCAAGGGCCAGGATAGCTTCATGGTCACCCTCCGAACCTCCCTGGAAGAAGTGGCAAGTGCATACGCAGCTCCTGGCCTTTGCCTTGCCCTGCACTTACTCTTATGGCAAATGGACTCCAGTTAACCAAACAGGACGTCTTCAACTCCAGGACAAATGTGCAAGGCTTGGGATAGGATGTTCTCCAATCAGCAAGCCAGAAAAACTCCTCTGAAAACATCACGCTGTGGAGATACCAGCAGGAACATTGCATCCTATACAGTTTCAAGAGTAAAATCCTCCAGGAAATGTGTGGGAAGCAGAAGAACATCCAACAACTGAGCCCTTAAAAGGAAGAAATGCACAAAAAGGGGAGATTAGGGGAGAATACAAATTGTCTATATCACATATTTTCTTAGTTCTGACTCTTTTTGCCATTCTTCTGGGTCAGAGAATGTCTGGGATATTTGAGGACCCATGAATAGCAAGAACTCTCTTCAGTTTCTCTCCTTGTCCAAAATCAGCTGCCCTAGGGTTTCATTCTTGTCTAGGTCACCTCTGGACTCCAGTGAATGACTTGTCCATTCCTTGCTCAGCCACAATTAGCTATGATGGGATTTTTCTGGGCATTTGAATAATCATGTATAAAACGAAGGTGTTAGACAAGTTAATCTCTCAAGCTTTTCTCAGTGCTAAAATCTTAAGATAATATAATTTATCCTTTTATGAAAAGTGCAAAATTGTGATTTAACAACTCCTTGGGAAGTTCTTATGGGTTTATGAACACGATGAAGTGGCAGGGGCAGGCGGTGACTTTCTCTAGGATCCAATTCCACAACAGGCTAACTAGCCATTTTTTCTCATCGACATTTGGTAGTGAATCGTGCTGGTATTGCCCTCATAAAATCATTTTGCTCGTTGCCATCCCCTGAGCAATCACTGTCCCCTGGAAAGGTGAGTTCTTTGGCTGACAGGCAGCCTTGAGCTCTCAGTGAACTTCCCAGGGGGCTTTCTTAGGGATTTTCCAAAGCCAGATCCTCCACTCTGTCCCTTACAAACCATTGTGATGGGGACTGCAGGCAACTCCACCTCAGACTTTTTCTCTTTCCTCCTCAGCAACTGCACCCAAATCCGTGGTTTCCCTCCATGCTCCATGGACCGTTGCCTTCCAAGGAGAGACGGTGAAACTGATTTGCAATGGTCTTCACTTCAACCCAGCACGGAAAGCAACATGGTACTATTGGTACCATGAGGGAAAAATGTCAAGCAAAACCCTAAGTAACACCCATGTGGTTCATGATTCTGGGGAGTATAGATGTCAGGCCTCTGACTCACTCCCGAGTAACTCTGTGAGGTTACTCTTTTCTACAGGTGAGAAAAAAGTGAAAGAATTAAAAATTTTTGAAATCATATTGTTATGCAGAACCTACCCAATATTTACTCCTTCAAAATCTATAGGAAGAGGACTGAAGAATTTGTATTTTTTACAAGCTGCTCAAGTAAAAAGAAATTTGAGAAGCAATTTATTTGAATGGTTCCTAAATCTATGTATGGTTTTAAGACTACATAATTTACTTGAAATAATAAGCAGTATGAGGATTGTTCATATTTACAGATAGATATACACAGATAGGCAGATAGATAGACATAGAGAGAGAGAGAGAAAAGAAGAAACATTTCCTTTTTTGTCCTAAAGCCACCTGTTTTGGATTTGAAGCAGTATCTCCCTAGTTATAATGCTCCTTAATTTAGTGAACAAGGAAACAATATAGTAGCAAGGAGCAAAAAATATGCTAATCTTCTTTGACCTGACAATTCCCCTCTTAAGAATTTACCTACTGAAACAATCATAGATATGCACCCCCAAAACTGAAGGACCTTAAATGGTCAAGAAAAGAACACTCATTAAATAAATTACATTGTTGCCGTTGAAGGAAAATTTTGTAGCCATTGAAAACTAGGTCCAGGCATGATATTGACAACAGAAAAGTGTTCATTACATAGCAAGTGAAAAGCAAGTTATCAAATAGATAAATAATGTTACAATTTCGTAAAACGAAAAAAATACACACAGACTCTCACATACATGCACATGGAAAAGAGAACTGTCAAAACGTATGCCAAAATCTGGGTGGTGAGATGATAGGAGGTTTTTATGTACATTTCTGCTTTCCTAGTTTTCTCAAGGCATATGTGTTTATTTTAATATCAGAAAGCAGAATTGACAATTATTTTAAGAATCCTTTTTCCCCATCCTCATTCCTATAAAATCTACTTGATAACAAAAAGAAAGGAGAAACAATGGGATGAAACACATAAGTGGTCTTGTGTTTCCTACAGCTAACCTGATCCTGCAGGCTCCACTTCCCGTGTTTGAAGCCGACTCTGTGGTTCTGAGATGCCGAGCAAAGGCGGGAGTAGCAGTGAATAATATGACACTATACAAGAATGATAGATTCCTGGCATCCCTTCATAAAACTTCTGACTTTCACATTCATCAAGCAGATCTGAAGGACAGTGGTGAATATCGCTGTAGTGGAGTTAAGGAAAAGTGTTGCTCTGTTACTTCAAACACAGTCAACATCCAAGTCCAAGGTAAAGCCTTCATTATTTGTGAAGTGGGTTAGTCAAAAGGAGGGTCCCTGAGGTTGTGGAGGGAGAATAGGAAGAAAAGGGTGGACTGGAGTACTATTGAACCTCAGGGCACATTCTTGCAAGGAACAGAGAAAGTGCAACTGTGCTTTGGGCTGTAGGATGTTAGGAATCAAAAGTGGCATCTCTTTCTTTGCCCGCTTCTGTATGCTCTGCTTGTGGGTGCTGAGGATGAATTATGTTTTTATCCAGAGAAGTTCCAAGCCTCATTGCTCTGAGGACTGTTGTGATCCTTCTCTCTAGAGCTGTTTCCACCTCCCGTGCTGAAAGCCAGATCCTCTTGGCCCACCAAGGGGAAACTAGTGACCCTGACTTGTGAGACCCAGCTCCCTCCACAGAGGTCAGATGTCCAGCTCCAGTTCCACTTCTTCAAAGGTGGACAGACCCTGGGGTCAGGGTGGAGCAGCTCCCCAGAATTCCAGATCACTGCCATAAGGAGAGAAGACTCAGGGTCTTACTCGTGCGAGGCACAGACAGTGACTTCCCGTGTCTGGAAACAGAGCCAGACGTCCCAGATATATGTGCAGAGTGAGTGTCAGTGGGTTCTGAGATTTACTGGGACTGGGGCTGGGAAGAACCAGGCAGAACTGCACATCTTCTTGGGCCACTGGTCCATGTCGAAAGTGCTTCTTATACCTGTGGGAATGGGATGAAGAAAGGTATGAGAGAAGAAACCTCAATTCTTATGGACATCTTAGAGGAGCTTAGAAACAAGAAACTCTAAGAGAAGACTATTTTTTCTTTCAATGCTATGAGATACAACTCTTTCTTTGCCCTCTGAAAGCTCTCTTCCTTGACATCACTATTTTTTCCTGCTAGGCCCATAGGCATAAGCTGTGGGCTATGGCAGAGCCCTCTGGCTGGGCTGGAGGGACTCTGCTCAGCCAGATGGACAGATTCCTAGAATGCTAGATGCCTGGAGAAGAACACTTCAGAACAACAAAATCAAAGAACAAAATCTTTGGGAATAAATAGTTACAACTTGATGTCACTAGAGATGGTTGTGTACCCACTATTGCTTTTCTCTAAGTCTCTGAAGTTGTATAGGTTTCAAGCATGACTGCTAATCAATGGTCAAATGCCTCCCCAGATTAAATCTGACCTGTCTCATGGGAAACCTACTTGAGCATTAGGAAGGGATGCATAGTCTGGGGTGCATGCTTTCCTGAGTGATAAAGGAGTGAAAGTGGTAGCATGCTCCAAAAATTCACTCCCATTTCCAGGCCAAAAAGAAAAAACATGGTTCTATAACTCTGTTTCTTCTAAAATTCCTAGATTTTATTAATCTATTCTCCAATCACAGGGAACAGGTGTTTCTTAGGTCACCAGTTTAAAGAATGAGAATTCAGGGGAGGTGGAGAGGGTGTTATCCAACAATTGCAACACAGTAATTTCTAGCATAGGATCTCCCTCAATGTAACTGATGGAACCCCAACCTCATGCTCTACTCCCACTCTGTTCAGGTATCTTGATCTTCAAGACTCCAGGACGATTCAAAAAAGCACTGCTCTAAGCCAACCTCATTATGTGAAACCACACACACCTAGAGTGTGGAAACCTTTCATCACAGGTTTCCCCACTTAGGGGTACTGTCCTGGGTTCACCTTCTCTGACCATGTAACTGACAAGCTAGAGGGGTTAAGACGTGCTTTCCTGAGGGCAAGCTTACTGTATATGCGAATGATTGATTTCCAACTAGCCGCTGCAGTTACCACAGCTCCAGGACAAGTACCTCTAATGCCAAGTCTCCCTGTACCCTTCACCACCACCACTACTTCCCTCAAGCAATGCCACTGTTGGGCACTGGGTGTAATATATGGAATGACTGGTCCAAGCTTTATGAGGGGATAGGTAAGACATGAGGAAAGGTGGGCAGTGTTGCCTCTATTCGTTAAGCCAGATGCTCTGCAAGATCATTAGAGAGTAGAAGGTCTCCCAAGCAATGGAAGGAACACAGTCTCTCCATCACTTCCTCCTTCTTCTCAAGGACCAAGCCCAATTCCATTCCAGGCCAACATCCCACATTGGATCAGCAGATTTAGCCCTTCCCATCCTGTGACTCTTTTCCAGTGATGAGTACCCCACTGCCAAGAGTCCCATATGTCATTTTTATTCATTTAGGAGTTGTTGCCAATGTTCAAATACATACCCGCCCAGCCCTAGAGTTGGTGTTTGAAGGGCAGGAACTGGTCCTCACCTGCTCAGTAGTTGGGGTCCCAGGGGCCGTCAGAATCTCCTGGTACAAAGGATCAAATAAGCAGCGTATGAAAACAAAGATTCAGAATTCCCTGAACGCAGAATTCAAGATCTCGATGGTGAAAAACAGTGATGCTGGAGAGTATAACTGTGAAGCCAGCAACGGTCACCTCATCCTTCAAAGCAAGCCAGTGACCATCAATGTGAAAGGTGAGTCTGCCAGATATTATCTGAGGAACGGGTTATCAAACTTAGTGAAGATCATAAGGCAGTTGGGTGGGAATGGATATCGATAGTTAACAATAATTTAATACTCTGAATAACCTACCATGAGTTAGACAGAGACTAGCAGGAGGGGGAGTTTGGCCCAGAAGGATCTGTGGGCAGTGGGAACTTTTGGAACTCTTAGAAATGGAGGTTAGAGAACAGGCTCGGTGATTGGCACATGTATAAACCCTTTATATTTACAAATTCCCTCTTAGTTTAAGGAAATCACTCCTGGGAATAAAGCCAGAACAAATAGGATGTTAGAACCAGGTCTGATCTGGCTCTACGTCTCTCAATAAGACTCCTGGATTTAAGGATGTGCAGGCACCCTCCCTGACCACCTGGTTGTGTCTTTCATCCCCAGTGACACATCCTTTCTTCACCCTCAGGGCCGCTGGGGCACAGGATGCTGCAAAGAATTTCACTGTGAAACCAAGGGAGCCTCTCTCCCATCCTATATCAGTTTTATCATGAGGCTGAAATCCTGAGGACCCCAGACCCCTATAGCTGAGGAGCATCCCTCAATCTCTGTGCCCACAAAACAGTCTGGGAATGACTCCTGTGCTTAGACAATGGCCTGGGGACCCAGCTAGCAAGGACAGGCCAGTCTCCATCAGAAGTGAGTTAACTCTGACCACCAGAAGTCACAGCGAGGGTCAGGTTGCATGTTCCCCCACAGTCTAGAGACTCCAGCTACAAAGATTTACAGGCTTTTGGCTCACGTGGGATCAAAGCAGGCTTGTTGCCTCTGCTTGGCAGTTCTGAGCTCCTTCCTGTGACCATACTCTCAGGAACTCAGGAATTCCTTAGAGTGAATCATCAATGGGAAAATGTACCATCTGACCAAAACTCCACTAACATAGCTTTGAAACTTTTCAGAGTTCAAAATTTGTCAGTTCAGCAATCTCTGGCCAAAGAGAAATTACACAGTTCAGCTTTGTTTGGCTTAGATGATACTCAGTCCTTGATTCTTCTGTCAATCAACGAAAGTACAGCCACTCCTGGTTAGTCTTTCTCTTACTGCTCTCCAACAAATCTCTACTCACTTACCTGCTTCCTGTTCCTCCCCCAAGTCATCTGCATTAGTCTGTTCAGACTTCCCTAACAAAATACCACAGACTGGGTGGCTTAAACATCAGAAATTTATTTTTTCACAGTTCTGGAGGCTAGAAGTCCAAGATCAAGGTGCCAGGAGGATTGGTGGGAGCCCTAATGAGGGCTCTCTTTCTGGCTTGTAGTTGGCTACCTTCTCAGTGTGTCCCCACATGGCCTTTCCTCTATATGAGGTCAGAAAGGGAGACAGGTCTCTGGTGTCTCTTCCTCTTCTTAGGAGGACGTCAGTCTTATCTGATTAGAGCCCCACCCATTTAATCTCATTTAACCTTAATTATCTCTTTAAAGGGCCTGTCTCCAAATATAGTCACATTGGGGGTTATTGGAGGTTAGGGCTTCAACATATGCATTTTGGAGGGAGAAAACTCAGTTCATAACACCATCCTAATGTCCCCATTGGCTCCCAGATCTTTGAACAAGTGTCTATCTCTTGTGGGCCTCATTCTTCAATGAGCCCAGATGCCATCACACCCCTTAATGTGTCTGCAGCATCTCTCTCTCTCTCTGTCTGGTCCCCGACATCTGTAGAACTCTGTTTTTTTCTCTTTCTTCTTTTGTCCTCTGAAGGCCCAGATGTCTGAGTACCGAATCAATTTCAGTAGCTCACAAATCATTTCTTTTTACCAGGGATATGGAGGTATCCCTTCATATGTTGTCCCAATTAACAGTTAATTTTTGACAGTAACCAATGTGCAAATCCCTGTAGGATACAGAGACAGGTAGCAACATCATTGATACTCCAAAGATGTAACTACGGAGGTAGGGAGAACCCCAGACTTCATCACCTCCTTTACCAGTATATGATGCCATCCTGTCCTCAAAACTGTGAAGGTAGTTATGATGGTGAGAGGAAAACAGCTTCTGTGGAGCCCTGTGCCATCCCCTCTATTCATGGCAGACTCCAGGCCCACTGTTAAGGAGATGATGTGATTCAGCACTGGACCAGCAGTCAGGATACAAAGCCAACCCCTGGCTGGCCCTGGAAACCAGCCTGCTAGGTTAGGCTAGGCGTCCTAGCCTCTTGCTGACTCAATTTTCTCACCTGTAAATAGAGAGAGTCAGGCTGGATGCAGGGAAACTGTAGGAACAGAGGAGAAGGTCCTAGAAAAGTATGTGAATCTGGAAAGGAAAAGGGTTAAGGGCAGAGCCCTGAGGTCAACCCCAGTGAATGGAGAAATAGAGAAGAGGGACTGAGAAGAAGACTCAAATGGCTTGGGAAGGGAGGGGCACAGCTCTTCTACAGTCATACAGCAGGGGGACGGAACAGGGTAAGGGTGTGGGTCTTATGGTGGCAAGATAAAGGACTTCTTTCCCGAGAGTGGTTTTCCTTCTGGAAAACAGGAGTGAGGTCAACTAACAAGGGGGGACAGCAGAGGAGAAGGGGCCAGAGGTCTGATGGGAAAGGAAGAGACTAGGGTGAGGACAGGAGAGAGATGGTGAGAAAGGCCTGGGAGGTTGCTGATCCACCCTGAGGGCTGGTGGAGATGAGACTGGCCATTTCACTGGCCATTGGTTGAAATCTATAGTAAGTGGTAGAAGTAACCGTTGACTAATTTTTTCTCTCCCTCAGTTCCCGTGTCTCATCCTGTCCTCACCCTCAGCCCTCCTAGGGACCGAGCTTTTGAAGGAGATGTGGTGAGACTTCAGTGTGAAGCCCAGAGAGGTTCTTTTCCCATCCAGTATGAGTTTTTTCATGAAGGTGTAATTATCAAGAAGATAGAAACCACTTCATGGAGAACAAGTTTCTTCAGGTTCACTCTGACTGCAGAGCATTCTGGGAACTACTACTGTACTGCTGACAATGGTCGGGGGACCAAGCAGAGCAGGGCAGTGCACCTCTCCATCACCAGTAAGCCCTCGGTTCTGTCATCATCCATCTTTGGCCTTTCTCACCAACCCCTCCACAAATGTGTTCTCACCTTCAAGTTTTCTCTCCTTCTTGCTTGGGCTAACCCAATGTCCTTCGAGACTCCTTTGCTCACTGAAACACCTCTCTGCTGCTTTTGAGCCTTGTTCCTTGAGCAGCCGAGGTGCCATCACACCCCTGGCGGTCGATACAACAGCTTTCCTCTCCTGGCCCCCAAACACTGAGGAGCCAAATGCTTTTCTCTTTCTTTCTACTTGTCTGTGAATCCCTAGGTGCCTGATTTTTATTCAGTCAATTGTTCTCAGTAGCTACAACATCAGTTCCCAGGGGCACAGAGGTGTCTCTTGTCCCTTTCATATCAGTTATTGATCATGAATAGTGTACAAAACCATGAAGGATACAAAGACAGGTAGCAGGATCACAGTTACTCCAAAGATGTCCCTCTTGCTTAAATATTTTCAGAATTGCTTAGGCAATTGTGTGAGGGAGAACCAGACAGGGGAGAGGTTGGAAGCGGGGCAAGAGATAGCCCCTTATAAACAGAGATGACTTCACCTCTGCTTCCTAGGCTTACTGACTCAAAGGCAGTGAAAGGAATTGTGAACTAGTTATGAAGTTAAATGGTTTCTGTTGAGCCTTGAATCTCAGTATCGTGCCATCTATGTGTGGCCAAATTACAAGCCCAATTTTAGGGGACAGGGTGATTTGGGCGTATACTGGTGGCAGAGACTCTGGTCCTGGCTGGTCCTGGAAGCAGCCTCAGTTTCCTCTTCTATAAAAAAAATAGAACAAGGCTGGAGACAAGCTGGAATCTAGTCCCTCAAACAATAGATGTGCAAAAGATTATAAAGGAAAGGATCAGAAAACCTTGGAGGGAAATATCAAATGAAAGAGAGAGGGAGGCTTTGCTCCTGAATCTAGAGGCCCGACGAAATTGGAGGCAGTGACATTATTATCAAATGCTCTCAGAGATGTATAAAGTTCTATACAGTGACATTTATTCACCTAATAAATAATGGTTGTGTATATAATGTATGTCAGACTGCACCAATGTCTAAGGATGCATGAGACTAGACCAACATGGCCCTGTGCACACAGTTCTCAGGGTCTAGTAGCAGATGTACATGAGCAATAGGGCAAACACCAAACCAAGGGATAGAAGTACCTGGAGGCTGTGGGGGCCGATGGGAGAGCACCCCAACCTGAGTTCGGAGATGAGAGGGCATTTCTTAGATGAGTTCGTGTGTGCTCAGAGGCCTGACAGTGAGTAGGAACATTCCAGGAGGAGAAGGGAGGGGTTGAGGGAGAAAGAAAGAGGCTGTGTTCCAGGTTGAGTCACGTGCTAAAGAATCGTGGTGAGGGAAGGAAGAAATGTTCAAGAACTGGAAGGAGATCTTTTTGCATTGAGAGCAGCATAGAGGGAAATGGTTGAAGAGGCAGGATTAGGTGGGAGAGGGAGGCAGGGCCAGGTTATGAGGCATTAGAAGCAATGGTAAGGGCTTGGGCTTTTTCTAAAGGGTAATCAGGGATTTGTGAAGGGTTTTAATACTGGGGAACATCACTCCAGTCACAGGGTGAAGAATGGATGGTAGAAGGGCCAGTCTGGGTAGCAGCCAGGAGTAGAGAAGATGGCCCAAGAGAGAGTGTCCAGTCAGACAGAACCCTCAGGCCAGCCCCCACTGAGAAGCAAAGTCACTGAGAAGAACTGTGGCTGAGAGGAGACACTGTGAAAATGTGTACCTAAAACACAAAGGAAGAGAGATAGCAGGATAATTCAGATAAGGCAGAGTTGATAGACGAAAAGCTAATAACTGAATCACCTCCCCTGAATTTAGTCACAAATAACTGAATACAAAAGCAGAAGAATACAAATGAGAAGTGGAATACCTGGGTCTGACTGCTGGCTCACCACTTACTAACTGGGGGGTTTAATCTCTTTAGGCCTCAGCTTCCTCGTCTGTAAAATAGAGACAATAGTAGTACCTGCTTCATAGGATTGTTTTGATAGTTAAATTAATGTCTACATACATATATATACAAATTGTGTAGGACTAACACACATACACCACACACGTAGTTAAAGGCACTACATTATCATTATAAGTAACTATTATTATTATTATTATCATCATCAGTATAATCATAAACATGAAAAATCAACTTTAGTACATTGGTGGGGATAAAATCCAGATTAATATTATTATTTGTTATGGACAAAAAATAAACGTGAGGTAAAGAAGTGGAGACAATAAATGTAGCCCACTTTTTCCAGAAGTCTGTCCACAGAAAAGAGAAGTGACCATGGGGAAAACTAAATGCACGTAGGGTTGTTTGTGTTTGTTTTTTGTTTTTCTAACATGGAGAAGATTAAATGCATCTAAATGGTGTTTGGAAGAAGCTGATAGAAGCAAAGAATTTACATCCAGAACAGAGGCAGGTTGGCTTGGGTCGAGATAAAGGAGCGTATTTCTTAAGTAGGAGAAGGGAGGGCTCTTCCAGGCTCAATGGGCAGAGGGGAGGAGCAAGGGGCTAATGTAGACAAGGGTGTGGGTCTGATGGTAGCAAGATAAAGGACTTCTTTCTCGAGAGTGGCCTTATCTCTGGAAAACAGGAGTGAAGTCACCTAACAAGGGGAGACAGGAGAGGAGAAGGGGCCAGAGGTCTGATGGGAAAGGAAGAGACCAGCGTGAGGAGAGTAGACAGCTGGTGAGAAAAGCGTGGGAGGCGTCTGGGTGGCACTGAGGGCTGGTGGAGATGGCACTGGGCATTTCACTGGTCACTGGTTGAAATCTACAGTAAGCAGCAGAAGCAACTGTTAACTAGATTTTTCTCTTCCTCAGTTCCGGTGTCTCATCCTGTCCTCACCCTTAGCCCTCCTGGGAACCGGGTTCTTGAAGGAGAAATGGTGACCCTTCAATGTGAAGCCCAGAGAGGTTCTCTTCCCATCCAGTACCAGTTTTTTCGTGAAGATGTATTTATCAAGAAGATAGATGCCACTTTACGGAGAACAAGTTCCTTCAGGTTCACTCTGACCACAGAGAATTCTGGGAACTACCACTGCACCGCTGACAATGGCCGGGGGGCGCAGCGCAGCACCACAGTGCACCTCTCCACCACCAGTAAGCCCTAGGTTCTGTCAATCACCCATACTTGCCTTTCTCATCAACCCCTCCACAATTGTGTTCCCACCTTCAAGTTTCCTCTGCTTCTTGCTTGGGCTAAACCAATATCCTTCGAGACTCCCTGGGTCACTGAAACAGCTGTCTGCTGCTCTTGAGCCTCATTCCTTCGGCAGCCGAGGTGCCATCACACCCCTGGCTGTCTGCACAGCAGCTTCCCTCTCCCGGCCCCCAAACTCTGAGGAGCCAAATGCTTTTCTCTTTCTCTCTACTTGAATCCCTAGATGCCTGATTTTTATTCAGTCAGTTGTTCTCAGTAGCTACTACATCAGTTACCGGGGGCACAGAAGTGTCTCTTCTCCATTTCATATCAGATATTGATCATGAGTAGTGTACAAAACCATGGAGGATACAAAGACAGGTAGCAGGATCACAATTACTCCAAAGACGTCCCTCTTGCTTAAACATTTTCAGAGTTGCTTAGGCAATTGTGTGAGGGAGAAACAGATAGGGGAGGGCTTAGAAGCAGGGCAAGAGATAGCCCCTCATGAGCAGAGATGACTTCACCTCTGCTTGCTAGGCTTACTGCCTCAAAGGCCATGAAAGGAATTGTGAACTAGTTATAAAGTTAAATGGTTTCTGTTGAGCCTTGAATCTCAGTTTTGTGCCATATATGTGGCCAAATTCCAAGCCCAATATTAGGAGAAAGTGTGATTTGGGCTCATACTGGTGGCAGAGTGTCTGGCCCTGGCTGGTCCTGGAAGCAGCCTCAAGTTCCTCTTCTCTAAAAAAGCAGAACAAGGCTGGAGACAAGCCAGAATCTAGCCCCTCCCACAATAGATGTGCAAAAGATTGTAAAGGAAAGGATCAGAAATCCCTGGAGGGAGACATCAAACGAAAGAGACAGAGAGGCTGTGCTCCTGAATCCAGAGGCCCAACGAAATTGGAGGCAGTGACATTATTATCAAATGCTCTCAAGATGTATAAAGTTCTGTACAGTGACATTTATTCACCTAATAAATAATGGTTGTGTATATACTGTATGTCAGAGTGCACCAATGTCTAAGGATGCATGAGACTAGACCAACATGGCCCTGTGCACACAGTTCTCAGGGTCTAATAGCAGATGTACATGAGCAATAGGGCAGACACCAAAACAAGGGATAGAAGTACCTGGTGGCTGTGGGGGCTGATGGGAGAGCACCCCAACCTCAGTTGGGAGATGACAGGACATTTCTTAGAAGAGTACATGTGTGATCAGAGGCCTGACGGTGAGTAGGAACATTCCAGGAGAAGAAGGGAGGGGTTGAGGGAGGAAGAAAGAGGCTGTGCTCCAGGTTGAGTCATATGTTAAAGAATTGTGGTGATGGAAGGAAGAAATGTTCAGGAACTGGAAGGACATCTTTTCACATTGACTGCAGCATAGAGGGAAATGGTTGACAGATGCAGGATGAGGTGGGAGAGCGAGGCAGGGCCAGGTTATGAGGCGTTAGAAGCAATGGTAAGGGCTTGAGCTCTTTCTAAAGGGTAATCTGGGGTCCATGAAGGATTTTAACACTGGGGAACATCACTCCAGTCGCAGGGTGAAGAACAGCTGCTACAAGGGACAGTCTGGGGAGCAGCCAGGAGTAGAGTAGATGGCCCAAGAAGAGAGTGTCCAGTCAGACAGAACCCCCAGGCCAGCCCCCACTGAGAAGGAAGGACACTGAGAGGGACTATGGCTGAGAGAAGAGACACTGTGAAAATGTGTACCATAAAACACAAAAGAAGAGAGTGTTTTAAGCAAAAAATAGCAGGCTAATTCAGAAATGGCAGAACTAATAGATGATGAAAGCTAAGAACTGAGTCACTTCCCCTGAATTGGGTCACCAAACACTGCATACAAATGCGGAAGAACACAAACGATAACTGGAATACCTGTGTTTGACTGCTGGCTCACAACCTACTAACTGTGTGGTTTAACCCCTTTGGGTCTCAGTTTCCTCCTGTGTAAAATAGAGACAATAATAGTACCTGCCTCATAGGATTGTTTGATAGCTAAATTAGTGTCTGTGTACATATATATACAAATTGTATATGACTAGTACACTTACACCAGACAGGTAGTTAAAGGCACTACATTATCATTATAAGTGTCTATTATTATTATCATTATGATCATGATTATAACTATAAACATGAAAAATCAACTTTAGTACATTGGTGGGGATAAAAACCAGATTATTATTATTATTTGTAATGGACAAAAGGTAAACGTGAGGTAAAGAAGTGGAGACAATAAATGTAGGCCACTTTTCCAGAAGTCTGTCCACAGAAAAGAGTTGAAAGTGACCATGGGGAAAAATAAATGCACATAGGGTTGTTGTTGTTTCTTTTTTTTTGTTTTTCTAACGTGGAGAAGATTAAATGCATCTAAATGGTGTTTGGAAGAAGCCGATAGAAGCAGAGAATTTACATCCAGGACAGAGGCAGGTGGGCTCAGGGTCAAGAAAAAGGAGGGTCCTCCTTGGGTGGGAGGAGGGATGACTCTTCCAGGGTCAATGGGCAGAGCGGAGGACCAAGGGGCTGATGTAGGTAAGGGTGTGGGTCTGATAGCAGGAAGATAAAGGACTACTTTCTTGAGAGTGGTCTTCCCTCTGGAAAACGAGTGAGGTTAACTAACAAGGGGAAAGAGGAGAGAAGGGGTCAGATGTCTGATGGGAAGGAAGAGGCCAACGTGAGGAGAGGGGAGCTGGTGACAAAAGCCTGGGAGGCTGCTGAGCCACCCTGAGGGCCAGTGGAGATGAGACTGGGCATGTCACTGGCCACTGGTTGAAATCTACAGTAAGCAACAGAAGCAACTATTGACTAGTTTTTTCTCTCCCTCAGTCCCCGTGTCTCATCCTGTCCTCACCCTTAGCCCTCCTGGGGACCGGGTTCCTGAAGGAGAAGTGATGACACTGAATTGTGAATCCCAGAGAGGTTCTCTTCCCATCCAGTACCAGTTTTTTCATGAAGGTGTAATTCTTAAGAAGATAGAAGCCACTTCACGGAAAACAAGTTCCTTCAGCTTCTCTCTGACCACGGAGCATTCTGGGAACTACTACTGCACCGCTGACAATGGCCAGGGGGCCCAGCGCAGCACCTCAGTGCACCTCTCCATTGCCAGTAAGCCCTAGGTTCTGTCAATCACTCATCCTTGTCCTTTCTCACCAACCCCTCTGCAAATGTGTTCCCACCCTCAAATTTCCTCTGCTTCTTTCTTGGGCTAAACCAATATCCTTTGAGACTCACTGTAACAGCTGTCTGCTGCTTTTGAGCCTCATTCCTTGGGCAGCCAAGGTGCCATCACACCCCTGGCTGTCTGCACAGCAGCTTCTCTCTCCTGGACCCCAAACTCTGAGGAGACAAATGCTTTTCATTTTCTCTCTACTTGTCTGAATCCTCAGATGCCTGATTTTCATTCAGTCAATTGTTCTCAGTAGCTACAACATCAGGTGCCAGGGGCACAGAGGTGTCTCTTGTCCCTTTCATATCAGATTTTGATCATGAGTAGTATACAAAACCATGAAGGATACAAAGACAGGTAGCAGGATCATAGTTACTCAACGATGTCCCTCTTGCTTAAGCACCTCAGAGTTGTATAGGCAATAGTGTGAGTGAGAAACAGATGGGGGAGAGGTTGGAAGCAGGGCAAGAGATAGCCCCTCATGAGCAGAGATGACTTCACCTCTGCTTGCAAGCCTTAGTGCCTCAAAGGCCGTGAAAGTGATTGTTTACTAGTTATAAAGTTAAATGGTTTCTGTTGAGCCTTGAATCTCAGTTTTATGCCATCTATGTGCAGCCTAATTCTAAGCCCAACTTTAGGGGATAGTGTGATTTGGGATTCCACTGGTGGCACAGAGTCCAGTTCTGGCTGGTGCTGGAAGCAGCCTCAGTTTCCTCTTCTGTAAAAAAACAGAACAAGGCTGGAGACAAGCCAGAATCTAGCCCCTCCCACAAAAGATGTGCAAAAGATTATAAAGGAAAGGATCAGAAAACCCAGGGGGGAGACACCAAATGAAAGAGACAGAGAGGCTACACCCCTGAATCCAGAGGCCAAAGGAAACTGGAGACAGTGACGTCATTATCAAATGCTCTCAGAGATGTATAAAGTTCTATACAGTGACATTTATTCACCTAATAAATAATGGTTATGTATATACTGTATGTCAGACTGCACCAATGACTAAGGATACATGAGACTAGACCAACATGGCGCTGTGCACACAGCTCTCAGGGTCTAATAGCAGATGTACATGAGCAATAGGGCAAACACCAAACCAAGGGATAGAAGTACCTGGAGACTGTGGGGGCAGATGGGAGAGCACCCCAACCTCAGTTGGGAGATGATAGGACATTTCTTAGAAGAGTTCATGTGTTTTCAGAGGCCTGATGGTGATTAGGAACATTCCAGAGGAGAAGGGACAGTTTGAGGGAGGAAGAAAGAGGCTATGTTCCAGGTTGAGTCATGTGTTAATGAATTGTGGTGACGGAAGGAAGAAATGTTCAGAAACTGGAAGGAGATCTTTTCTCATTGACAGCAGCATAGAGGGAAATGGTTGAAAGAGGCAGTATGAGATGGGAGAGGGAGGCAGGCCCAGGTTATGAGGCCTTCGAAGCAATGGTAAGGGCTTGGGCTCCTTCTAAAGGGTAATCTGGGGTCCATGAAGGATTTTAATACTGGGGAACATCACTCCAGTCGCAGGGTGAAGAACAGATGGTAGAAGTGCCAGTCTGGAGAGCAGCTAGGCGTGGAGGAGATAGCCCAAGATGAGAGTGTCCAGTCAGACAGAACCCCCAGGCCAGCCCCCACTGAGAAGGAAGAACACTGAGATGGACTGTGGCTGAGAGAAGAGACACTGTGAAAATGTGTACCACAAAACACAAAGGAAGAGAGTGTTTTAAGCAAAAGATAGCAGGCTAATTCAGATAAGGCAGAGGTGATAGATGATGGAAGCTAAGAACTGAGTCACCTCCCCTGAATTTAGTCACAAAACACTGAATACAAAAGCAGAAGAACACAAATGAGAACTGGAATACCTGGGTTTGACTTCTGGCTCACTACTTACTAACTGTGCAATTTAACCCCTTTGGACCTCAATTTTCTCATCTGTAAAATACAGACAATAATAGTACCTGCCTCATAGGATTGTTTTGATAGTTAAATGCGTCTGCATACATATATTTACAAATTATATCTGACAAATGCATATGCACCAGACACATAGTTAAAGGCACTACGTTATCATTTTAAGTATCTAATATTATTATCATTATGATTATCAATATAATCATAAATATGAAAAATCAACGTTAGTACATTGGTGGGGATAAAAACCAGATTACTATTATGATTTGTGCTGGACAAAAATAAACGTGAGGTAAAGAAGTGGATACAATAAATGTAGACCACTTTTACCAGAAATCTGTCTGCAGAAAAGAGAAGTGACCATGGGGAAAATTAAATGCACATAGAGTTGTTTTTGTTTGTTTTTTGTTTTTCTAACGTGGAGAAGATTAAGTGCATCTAAATGGTGTTGGGAAGAAGCCAATAGAAGCAGAAAATTTACATCCAGGACAGAGGCAGGTAGGGTCAAGGTCAAGAGAAGGGAGAGTCCGCCTTGGGTGGAAGGAGAGACGGCTCTTCCAGTGTCAATGGGCAGAGGGAAGGAGCGAGGGGCTGCTGTAGGTAAGGGTGTGGGTCTGATGGTAGCAAGATAAAGGACTTCTTCTCCAAGAGTTGTGTTACCTCTGGGTAACGGGAGTAATGTCACTTCACAATGGGAGATAGAAGAGTGGAAGGGGCTAGAGGTCTGATGGGAGAGGAAAAAGACCAGCATGAGGACAGGAGAGAGCTGGTGAGAGCAGCCTTGGAGGCTGCTGGGCTGCTCTGAGGACCGATGGAGATGAAACTGGGCATTTCACTAGCCACTGGTTGAAATGGTCAGTAAACAAAAGAAGCAACTGCTGATGAATTTTTTCTCTCCCTCAGTTCCAGTGTCTCATCCCGTCCTTACCCTCAGCCCTCCTGGGCCCCGGGATCTTGAGGGAGATGTGATAACACTTCATTGTAGAGCCCAGAAAGGCTCTCCTCCCATCCACTACCAGTTTTATCACGAGAATGTCACCCTAGGGAGCAGTTCAATCCCGTCTGGATGAGGAGCATCCTTCAGGTTCTCTCTGACCGCAGAGCATTCTGGGAACTACCATTGTACAGCTGACAATGGCTTTGGTTCCCATTGCAGTGAGTCCATGAGTCTCTCTGCCACAGGCAAGCCATGGATTCCTGCCAGTCACTCATCCCTGACCCCTCTCGCACTAACCCCTTCAGAAGTCTTTGTGTACCTTCCAGTTTCCTGCCCCAATCAACCTAATGTCCCACTTGGCTCCTCTCTCATAGAACCAGCTGTCTGTGGGCCTCAGTCCTCATCCAGCCCTGGCTCAGCCAGAACCCTAAGATAGCTCAATACACTCCCCAGCTTTTGCCAAATGAATGTATTTTCTCAAATTATCTTCTCATAACCTGTATGTTCAGTTCCCAAGCCAATTTCTCTTAACTCGATGCACAGAAGCATCTCATATTTCCCCACTAACACTTACATATTAACTTAGCTACAAGCACAGTCTTATGGACAAATAGTGAGCAAGACCTTACTTTCTCCAAACAGTTCCAAAGCAGTTCAAGCTCTCACAGCAGGTTTGAAGAGGGATGAAGGTGAAGAGAAGGGAGGAAATGGCTTCCTGGGAACCAGCTCCTTGGTTTTCTGGGGTTCCTATGATCTCTTGTCTCAATCCATTAAACTAAGTGCCATTTTATTGTATTATGTTTTTAAAAACTTTATTGAAGTACAACATACATTCAGAAAAGTATACAAACCATAGGCTTACAGCTTATGGTTACCCATATAACCATCAAATGAGTGTCATTTTAGTAGTGAAATTGCTTCTTTTTACACTTGGATCTTTGTTTAGTAAAGAGAGAAAGTTCAGTTTTCTTTTCAGAGAAGCAGAAGTATGATAGAAAAATCTTGAGTCTAGTTCATCAGCCTATTTTACATCACAAGAAAACAGAGACCCCAGGTGTCCCCAGTGAGTGAGGGTTTCTTGTATGGATATCCAGGCAGTAAGAAAAACAAGACAGCATATCCACACTCATGGAAGGAGAACTGAGAGATCTCTCAGAAAATAATTCGTTACTCAAAAATAGGTTATGTTGATCCCTGATGAGCTGAAAGCTTCCATTACTCTCTACTCATAGGCCCATCAACTATTTTTTTCTGTGTCCTTTTGCCCCATTGCCCTTGCAGCTCCTAAGTGCTCTCCACTCTCAATCCCGCTATCTCATGACTTCTCTTTACTCAAAGCTTCTGCTAACCCCAGCATCGACTGCCTTGGGCTTATGTGTATGACTACTTGCTAACTAGTGGTTCTAACTGGTCTAGCAGTGATTCTAACTACTATAACTGGTAGGGCAGCCTAGCCCCTAAGCCATCTCCTAGAACACTGGCAAGTCTATTCATGGGTTTTTCTTAAACCAACTGCCCACCTCTAGTTCAGCAAATTATGGACAAAATAGCAGAGTCACTTGGGACAACATGACACATAATGAACTATGCTTAAGAAAATACTTTTTTTAGGGTAATAAAAAAAGCACTATCCATGGCTGGGACTCTGAGGTTTCCTAGAAAGGACCAGTGTACATGAAAAACACCTTGCTTGGGTTGTCTGATACAAGTGTGTGTCAGAAAACCTAAAATCTATCTCTGGCTGTGAAAATAGCTAGTTCATAATTTGGGCAAAATATTTAAACTTTCTTTGTCTTATTGTTTTCACTTATATTGAGAGTTAGATAAGATAAGAAGTATCCTTCTAGCCCCAGAATTCTGTGATTTGAGTTGGAACAGGAATCCAAAGGCCAGGAATTCATGAAGGTCTGGAAGAAATGAGGCGAGAAAGAGGCTGAGAAGCATTTGTCAAAGCCCCACACAGGACTGCCAGAGAATCCTGTGGGTGCTACAGAGCTGGGCTTATTTACCTGGCAAAGCAAGAGAGAGCACGACCCTGACAGAGTCTCATCATGGCTCACAGGGGAGAGTTAGGGGAGGGAGGTACTTATAGGGTTCCAGAAGAGGAAATTAGTCCCAGTGTGATTGTAACAGAAGTGGGGTGTGGTCAGAATTTGTAAACTACTCGAGTTGCAGGAAGAGTCTGTGGTCTTAGCAACACATGAGTCCATTTGGATTTCCTATTACTATGGTCTTATCTTGGAACATATGAATCTGAAGGATCACTTGCTCCTTGATAGCTCTTGTTTCAGGTAATAGAAATCAAGAATGACCAAAGGAAGACATTCCCCCAATATAAATTGTTGGGTAAAGAGATTATTTAAGAAAGTTAAATTTTATGAGACCCAGACTCCAAAGCCAGAACCCAATCTATCTAGGAAAGCCCCCAGCCCTAAGGCATCCTCTATCCCATTATTTTCTTCTCCAATTTAGCAATATCTAAAACCTCTTTATTTCCTGTATCTTGTATATCTCCTTCAATACCAGAATATAAGCTTCATGAAAATGGAACCTCATCAGTTTTGGTGTCCACTACATCCTTGTGCCTACTTGGTGTCTGGCACAGAGTAAGTCCTCAGTCAGCATTTGTAATTCAATGAACAAACAGTCTTTGAGGTGAGATGAGGAAGAGAAAAGCAGGCAAAGAACACTGATCTTTGCATCTGCTTATATCAACTGGACAGAAATAAATGAGCTCTAAGTTAGCAAACAAGTTGTTTGTGAACTGAGAAGCTTCACTGTGAGCCAGGCAGACTTTCTGGCAGAACAATCTACTTTTCTTGAGGGAATGTACCCCACAGAGAAGACACAGAGATTTCATGGGAATGTGTTCTGATGTGAATTACCCATTTTGACTCTATCAACAGGCCTGAGTCACTGAAATACACACACACACACACACACACACACACACACACACAGCATTCTGAAGCAAATAAAATACTCTGAATATAACTTTATTTATTGAAGGATAAGTTATAAGCAAAAAAAGTCCAATATGGGAATCTTTGCATTTATGCATTTAAAATTATAAAAGGGAAAGAAAGGAACATAATACACAATACTTTTAGGAAGAATTGCTATAGGAAATAGAAAAAAAAATTCTTCTGGATATTCTAAATACAATTAAAGAAAATATGGACTCCAGAAAAAAGAAGTACACAAAGGAATTTTACAAGATTGAAGAAGATATGATAACAGAAAAAGATTAAAAAATTTTCTAGTGAAGCTCAGGAGAAAAACCAAAGAAAATAACAAAGTTATTTTAGAAATGAGACCCAAATTTGAAGCAGTAAGAATAGAATGTATACTTCTGAAAAATGTTAATTGAACGGAGAATTGGTTTGAGAAAATAGTACGAACACAAAGTAGAAAGACACGGAAATGAAGGCAAAAAGAAAAAAAATTTAAGTATGGCGATCAGGCAATGGAGACCTCATGTGTGGATAATTAAGTGTCTCTTAGTTAGAAAACCAAACTGAAGAGAAAAACAAAGCTCAAAGATGTGACAAAAAATTTTCCTGAGGTGAGTAAAAGAATATGTAGATCAAAAGACATATCCTAATGAGGTTATTGAATGTCAAGGTTAAAAATACATGTGTGTGTGGATAATTATGGCAAAAGGGAAAAAAAAAGCAGTCATTATATCAGAAAGGAAAAATATGAAGTTGGTCTTAGCCTTTCCACAGAATTCACTGCTAAAAGAGAGGAGTGGTGTCCGTACTGCACTTTCTGGGGAGGAATGAGAACTGAGAATTTTATATCAAATCAAAAGGGCATTCTCAAACATGCGGGGACTCAGAGAACTTAGTACCCATTAACTCTCCCTGAAAAAATTACTTGATGACAAAATCCAGTCAGCCAAGCTATGAATCAATATAAAGGACTCAAAATGAGGAAATCATGGTATGAAATGTGAGTACTGAATCTATTTAAATTAGTGGTTCTCAACCCTGGTTGCATATTAGAATTACCTAGGAACTTTGAAAAAAGACTTATTACTAAGCCCTCTCCAGACCAATTAAATTCAGAATCTCTCAGATGGGGCCTCAGAATCCAAATTTTTTAACGCATCCTCGGATGAGACTATTGTTCAGATGGGGTTGAAAACTACTGATACAGATATAAAAACAAAAGCTAATCAACTATCAGAATTACAGTTACAGAATAGAAAGCAACTATTATAAATGCTGAAAATGTAAAAACACGTCACAAAAAATCAATTCGTCAGAGGGAGAAGAAGAAATAAAGGAACAATAATTTTCTCAATATTATTATTATTTCATAGGGGTGAACAAAAAAGAATTGCCTTGATAATTTTGAAAAATTAATGATAGATTTCAAAATTTCCATTTTGAAAATAATTTGAATACTTCGTGTACGGTAACTCATCATTAATAGATTATAGTTCACTAGCCATCCATGAAAAATCAACCAGTAGACTGAAGGATCACTAGAGTGACCTGTTCAGATGACAGAATGAGTGAAATGTTCAGATGGAACAACTGTAGAGTTGAAGACTAGGAAAAGAGAATAAATAATAAAAATAAACCTCTGCATTTATATGACTATAATTGATCGGCAAATGGGGAAACAGAAACTCTTATATACCATTAGTGCAAGTGTAAATTGGTCCAACCATTTTGAAGAACAATTTAGCATTGTATATCATTATTTGAAATGCCCATATCTCTCATCCCACAAATTCCACTTCTAAGAATTTCTTCTAGAAAATGCATGCACAAATGTACACGGATATAGGTACGGGATTGTTTCATGTGGCATTATTTGAGATTAGAAAATGATAACAATCTAAACATCCACTAATGGGATATTGCTTAAATATATTATGGTAAATCCATACAATGGAATGTTCTGTGATTATTAAAAATAACCAAGGAATATTTATTCTAAGTTATGAAACTGTAAATTTAAGAGAGTTGCATTTTATTGTGTGTAAATTATGCCCTAATAAAGCAAGTTTTTAAAAGTGAATGAGATAGATCTTTAAGTAATAACATAGAAAGATGCCCATGATATGTTGCTTAAGGGAAAAATCAGGTTGTAGACCAGTACACATATTGTGATCCCATGCGTGTGTGTGTGTGTTTTAATACGTTTATTAGTGTGTTGCTATGAGTGAGTGTTCTTATATGTAGAAAAGATCTAGAAAGTGTCACCAAATACTCAACAGAGATAATCTCGGGAAAATGAAAATTAAAAAACTAGGAAAAGATATTGGTGTCAACTAACTCATTTTTGCCCTCAGTTCCAGTGTCTCGCCCTGTCCTCACCCTCAGGGCTCCCAGGGCCCAGACTGTGGTGGGGGACATTGTAGAGCTTCACTGTGAGGCCCAGAGAGGCTCACCCCCGATCCTGTACCAGTTTTATCATGAGGATGTCACCGTGGGGAATAGCTCGGCCCCCTCTGGAGGAGGATCTTCCTTCAAACTCTCTCTGACTGAAGAACATTCTGGAAATTATGCCTGTGAGGCCAACAATGGCCTGGGGGCCCAGCGCAGTGACACAGTGTCACTCAGTGTCACAGGTAAGTTGACTCTTCCAACTATAGCACAACCAGGAACAGACCATCTCCCCATCTTCCCCAGGAGCCAAGATTGGAGGTTCCACAGGGCCATGTGGTGTGTGACATGACAGCAGACCTGCTGCCTATACAGCCTCCATCCAGGAGTTCTGGATTCTACATTTTCAAGAACTTGCACCTTCCCTTTGCTTGCTATGCCTTTCCTGGTAGCAATACTGCAGCCATTGTGACAAAAACTTCCCTAACATAGGAGTAAGGGCTTTCACAACACAAACTATGTCCTGGTTAACAAGGATCAGCAAGAAAGGAAATTAAAGTTCAGCATGTCTCACCTCAGAAAAGATTTAGTTGGCGATTCTTCTGTCTGTCAATCAATAAAAAGGCCAACTCATTCTCTCATTGGCTCATTAATTTCTCTCTAGCTTCTCCTGCCCCTGTCCCAGAGCAGCTCAGCACCCCACCCAGAACTCTTGCTAGAAGACTTCCCAACATCATTCTCCTGACCTCTTACATGTCCCTAATCCACCCAGCTATAGCACTCTCTCACCTGGCCCTGTCATAAGCTGACCTCCTAGTCATGCCTATTTTCAATATAGGCTCACAGTCTATGTAGTCTATACCCTATATTCTGCCATCATTCCGTGACTCTAATGTCCACATGGATGATCCATTGAACACAATGGCTTGTCATCCTCTCCACATCAGCCATCCTCTCCCACATACACACACTACTCCAATTATCTGACCACAATCTCCTATCCTTCTACTTGCTTCTTCAACTCCTCTAATCACTATTCTTCTCAGACCTCAACAGAACCCCCAGTTCATTAACACCTCTACTCCCTCCCAGACAATGACACCCTCGACTCCCACCATATTGAGTGTTTGTCTCTGTATCTGTCCAGTAACTCTTCCTTCTCCTCCTAAGGTATGGAGGAGAGGACTGTGTTCCCTATGAAAGGTCAAAATCTCCATCTGATCTCTGGATTCCATCCTTTCTTGCATTCTCAGACACTTTGCACAACCATTTCTCCCTTTTTGTCCTATGTCCCCCAATGTCTCCCTCTATATAGGATCCTTTCTGTTGACATTTAACATGCTACATCTCTCCCATGTCTAAGAAAAACCCTCACTTGATCCTACTTATGCCTCCAGCCACTGCTCTATTATGGCTAAGATTCTAAAAAAAGTCAGCTGCACAGGTTGTCTCCATTTTCTTTTTACCTACTAGGTTCTAATCCATTTGTTTCTTCTGACTTTCTACCAAGGTGTTTCTCAGAAAGTCACCAATGACCTCCATGACTTTAAATCCAATGACCATTTTCCAATCCTCATCTTACCTGATCTCTCAGAAAGTCCATATTGTTTACCTTTACTTCCTTCTTGAAACCCACCCTCACTTGGCTTCAATAACTCAACACTCTCCTGGCTCTCCTCTCTCCACCACTGCTTCTCAGTCACCTTTACTGGCTCTTCCTTTAATAGACAAACTAACTGTTGGTGTGTTCCGGAACTTTGTCCTGCGTGCACTCTCTTCTCTTATCTATATTTTTTCTCTGGATGATCCTGAGGATGTCATCTTTAAATGATTTCTGAACTTATATCTCCAAAGGAAACCTCCCACTTGAGCACTTGCACATGCCATATCTTCACTCAAATATCTTAAAAGCTCATGAACTTGAACATCTCTAAAACTGAACTCAGGGTATTCCCCCAAGACCTGTTCCTCCTCCAAGCGTCCCAACCTTTGTGAAGACACAGCTATTCATCCAGATATCCAAGGCAGAATCCCAGGAGTCTTCCTTGATATTTCTCTCCATTGCACTTCGTAGTCAGTTAATCATTAAGTCCTGTTGATTTTACTTCCTAAATATTTCTTCGACCTTTTCTTTCTCTCTCTACTGCCACACTGCTAGACAAACCTACCATCATTTCAATTATACTCCAATACCACCTCTCCACTCCACTTCTGTCCCACTGCAATCCATTTTGCACACTGACATCAGAATGGTCTTTTAAAAAGATAGATTTGATCATCTCTGTGAAGAAGGATCAAAATCCTTACTGTGGCTCATGGAGCCCTGCCTAGCTCTCCAGCTCCTATTTCATGGCAGTCTTCAGGCCCTTCTCTTAGTGCTGCTATCAACTTGTTTCAGTAACTCAAAACTTCCAACCTTCTTCCTAACTCAAGGCCTTTGCGTATACTATTTGCCTGCCTTGTGCATTCTTCATTTCCCTCTTCATCTGGTTAGTTTCAAATGTCACTTAGTGAGGAAGCACTCCCTGACTAACCCAGTTAGTTACAGGTGCCAGTATTATACATTTCATAGCACCTTATTCTTTATTTTGTATTAATTATCAGTGTTTTAATTCTATATTTATATTTTTGTTTAATTGCTGCCCATCATCTCTTCTAGATTGTAGGCTTCATGAGTACAGAGACTGTGTCTTTCTCACTATTGAATCTCCAGCATGTAGTGCAGTTCCTGAGACTTATTAATTGCTCAATTATTTTTTGATGAATGAATGAATACAAAAGTGAGAAAATAAATTAATCAATATTCATTCTCTTGTGGGCCTCATTTCTGATGCGGCCCAGGCTCAGTTACATCCTTGGCAATGTCGGCAACAGGTCTCTCCTTTTCCTTATTTTCCATTGACCTGAATTCTCCTTTTCCCCAATTGTCTTTTGATTTTCTCAGATGATACTTCGGTTTCAATTTAATCTTTTTTTTTGTTGTTGTTCTTTTTTTTTTTAATTTTATTTATTTTTTCCCCAAAGCCCCAGTAGATAGTTGTATGTCATAGTTGCACATCCTTCTAGTTGCTGTATGTGGGACGCAGCCTCAGCATGGCCGGAGAAGCGGTGCATCGGTGCACGCCCGGGATCCGAACCCGGGCCGCCAGCAGAGGAGCGCGCGCACTTAACCTCTAAGCCACAGGGCCGGCCCTCAATTTAATCTTTGTTTTTAGATTCTCCAAACACATTTGAGATTGTATATCCAAGTACTCCAAACTCTATGTAGCACTACACAAACGGTATTGTTTCTTCAGATTCAATACTGAGAAAAACATTTTTCTGTTTGAAATGTCTTTCCTATGGAGGAATATATTTAAATAGCAGGAACTGATGGTTAACTCTTTTTCCTCCCTCAGTTCCAGTGTCTCGCCCCGTCCTCACCTTCAGGGCTCCCAGGGCCCAGGCTGTGGTGGGGGATGTGGTGGAACTTCATTGTGAGACCCAGAGAGGCTCTCCCCCAATCCTGTACCGGTTTTATCATGAGGATGTCATCCTGTGGATAAGCTCGGCCCACTCTGTAGGAGGAGCATCTTTCAACCTTTCTCTGACCAGAGAACATTCTGGAAACTACTCTTGTGAGGCCATCAATGACCTGGAGGCCCAAAAGAGTAAGATGGTGACACTCAATGTCTTAGGTGAGTTGGTGCTGCCCACCAGCAGCACAACAAGGACTGACTGCCTTCTCTTCCCAGCAGCTGAAATGGAGCTCCAGCACTCCCATTTGCTGGTGTGAAGTATCCCAGCATACTTCCTACCTACAGAATCTCCACTTGGAAGTCTGGGATCCTTCCTATGGTTTCAGCTTTAGAACCTGGACCTTCCCGGCAGCACGGTTCAAGTAGTCTTCTTGAATGTGATCAAAATTCCACTAAAAAATGCAAAGAAGACTTTCTAGAACACAGCCTATATTCTTATCTGTCATTATGATACAAAAGGGAAACTAAAGAATTCTGAGCTTGGGGAGTCTCTGTTCCAAAAAAGGTTTGGCCATTCCTTGTCCAGGTTTTTCTCTCATTGACTCTCAACAAGCCTCTACTCTTGAGCTTCTTTCATTAGCAGGGATAAAAATAGGCCTCACATTTCCATATTAAAAATTCTATATTGATATTAGCTATGTGCGTAGCCTTTCAGGAGATACAACTAGTCCAAGTTAGTTTACCAAGTGATTCTTAAAGCAATGAGACACAGGGAAGCAGCACTGAGAAGGTGGAATCACGATGACATGGACTGGAAATGGCCACCCATCAATCAAATTCCTTCATTCTCTAAGCTCTCTTTTGACCTCTTGCCTTTAAGTGTAATATCCAAAGGAAAACTACTTGTGAGCTCTGAATCTGTTTTGTGATGACCTCCTACAGACCAAACCTCCAAACCCCTGTTTAGAGAGACCTAGGGTATAACAAAACCATGCTAAGGGCTTGAGATGAATGTTCTAGCCTTGACTCTGAAGATAACTAGCTGTATGATGTTGGCCAAGCATCTTTCCCTATATTGACCTCAATTTCCTCATCCATAAAGTGGGAAAATCAGACTCCATGGACATCACAGTCATCCCCAGCCCTAGAATTCTACGATTTTGGTGTACAGGGAATACAGAGTATTTCAGACTCAAAGGTTCCTGGAAGGAGACATACAGAAGGAGAAGCTGGGAGTCCTTGCTCCTGGGATACATCCCAGAGAAACAGGAGACCATGAAATGGCATGCAAACACCCTCTAAGCAAAATACTGACTGATCCTCTTAGTTTCTCTTGCCTGGGTCCCTGAGTGTCATAAGGAATAGGGAGAAAGTCACGTGAGCAGGTTGGTGTGGGGATGCCACCCCAGGATTCAGCATCTCTTCCAAGTGGCTGGTGCAGCCATCTTTTTGGCATCCAGGAGGCAACTTGATTTCAGATTTGATTTTTTTCTATTCAACCAGTTCCTTCTTCTTCCCCTACTGGCAGGCAGCATCCACCTCAGCCAATTTTCCTCTGAGATTCACAGGGAATCCTACCACAAGGTTGACACACTTACCTCTTAGATACACCACATAGGCATGCACCACTGACCCAGTGCTTCTCCTCTCTTCATAACACAGTGGACCAGCAGCGCATCATACCTCCTACACTCTGTATTCATGATTTTCTGCTCATCCCCACTCCTTTGTTTCTATGATTCCCTGATACAAAGGCATGTTATTTCTGCTGGTGCTATCACACCTAAAGGACTTCTTGCCCAGCCTAAACGAATTGTGTCTGAGTCCTGGAACTAGGATACGGATCATGGAGATCTGCAAGAAAAAGAAATATTTCTCATTACCATTGTCACCACCACCACAACCATCATCGTCATCATTATCATCATCAACACTTACTGAGCTCTCACATGTGCCAGACCCTGTGCTTGAGACATGCAATATCTCATTTAATCTTTAAGATAAACCAGTGAGGATAAAAATTATTGATTTCATTTTTATCCCCAAATTGCAAGAGAGGAAACTGAGGCTTAGACAGGTGAAGTAACTAGTTTACAGATGCAGCTAGCAATGGTAAAGCCAGGTTGAACCATGGGTTTATCCAACTCTTCATGTAAGTCCACGTTATGACATTTCTTCATCCTTTGTGGCCACATTTTAACACAATTTTTTAGTTTTTAATAATTGTTCTGAAAGAATACATAAATATTCATGATAAAAAAATCAAATGGTACAAAAGGGACGAGACGAACAGTAGATATATCTTTCTACTTGCGTCTGCACGCTTTCATATCCACATACTTCCAAGACATAACCACTGTTAATAGTTTTGTGTATATTTTCTAGAAATATTCAAATATATTATAAACATAAAGGCATAGAATTTTCCACAAAAGTAGAATCATATTACACATATAGTTATGCAACTTGCATTTTTTACTTAAAAATACATCTTAACTTTAATATAAAAAAATACACCTTGGATATCTTTCATATTGTATTAGCCAGTCAATTAGGTTATCTCTAGTTTTTAGCTATTATAAAAATTCTACAATAAAAATCCTTGTACAAATATCTTTGCATATCTTATGTCAGTGTCCCTAAGGGAAATAGTTTTAGAAGTAGATTTGCTGGGTCAAAGTTATGTGCACTTTAAATTTGGTAGATATTGCCAAATTGCCCTTCTAGGAAGTGTCTCAAATTTGCATTCCTACCTACAGCACATCGAGATGCCTATTTTTCTTCAACCTCATCAGCATCATCTATCTTGTTAAGCTTTACCAATCTGATAGGTGTTTTTATTTGTATAAATTTAATTAGTAATGAAGATGATAATCTTTTTATATATTGACTATTTGAAGTATTCAGTGGTTCATACCGTTTTCACACTTTTCTGTTGGATATTTTTCTTCATTGAGAGCTCTTTGTAGATTAAAGTCGTTAGCTTTGTCTGTCATATGTGTTTCAATGTATTTTCCAAGACTGAAATCTGACTTCTGCCATTAGTTTATAATATTTTTGTTTATAATATTTTTATAATATACTCCTTTATGAGTATATTATAAATAGGAACTTCTATTGACTTTTTTTCTCCCTCAGTTCCAGTGTCTCGCCCTCTCCTCACCCTCAGGGCTCCCGGGGCCCCAGCTGTGGTGGGGGACGTGGTGGAGCTTCATTGTGAGGCCCAGAGAGGCTCTCCCCCGATCCTGTACCAGTTTTATCATGAGAATGTCACCGTGGGGAGCAGCTCGGCCCCCTCTGGAGGAGGAGCTTCCTTCAACCTCTCACTGACTGCAGAACATTCTGGGAACTACTCCTGTGAGGCCAACAATGGCCTGGGGGCCCAGCGCAGTGAGGTAGTGACACTTTCAATCACAGGTAAGTTTCCTGTGCCCAGGCCACAGATGTGGACAAAATATATCCTCCAAGGATACTCTGACAATCCTCATGATACTTGACCAGGACAACACTTCTCAGGGACAGGTACACAAAGCTGGCAGTTCTCTAAATTGTTATTTTCTGAAGTGTTTCTGAAGTAATGGTAATTGAGCAGGAGAGGGGCCGAAGAGGATCATTGAATTTAATGCCCATCTGCTGGCCCTGTCCATCTAGACCCTCTCCCATTGCTTCAGCTGCAGAGACAAGCTACGTCACAAAGAAAAGAGCCATTTCATGTGCCACACCAGCACCTACTTAGCCTCAGGAACCCTAGTCCCCTAGGTTCATCCTCTCTCCCAGGCCCATGCATCTGCTCCAGGGGAAGGAGCAGTTCCAGACCACAAGCCTCTCCCTCTGGCTGATGCATGCGGTTTCCTCTTCAGGGGCGACAGGGAGCAGAAGTGGCCCTGTTGCCACAGGCGTCACTGGGGGCCTGCTCAGCGTCATGGGCCTTGCTGCTGTGGCACTGCTGTTCTATTACCGACTCCTGAGAAAACCAGGTGGGTAACTCCCTGGCTAACCTTTGCTGGAGTCCATGCCCTTGCCATCTCCATTCCCTCAGGCTCATGCTGCTTTTCAGCCACCCCCAAGATCTCAACAGCTCCTCCCCCCACAATCCCACACTACCTATCTTCCCCTCTAGATCCTCCAGAATTTGTCTTTACCAAACGCAAAGTTCCTAAAACAACCCTATTGGGTGGAAGATGCCTTGATGAGCTATAGTTTATCCAACATCATAAACTGCAGTGTATCTCCCTCTCTCTCCTTAAAGACCCCCAAGAATGGGAAGAGGAGAAGAAAGACTCTGAGAGATAGGAACAAAAACAGAAACCAAATAGGCTTTGATAACTTACTGATTTTTTTTAAAAGTCCAGTATTTTCATAGCTGATCAAGTCTATTTTCCCACCTGCAACTATTGCCCATTGTTCTTTACAAACTCCAGGTTAAAGGATTATGGATTGTGAGCTCCCCTTTCACATTAAAACTATACCCCTTTAGAAGCCAGTGTCCGTACTTTTTGCCCAATCTGCCACCTCCCTTGGGCATAGCAAAGAAGGGTTCACACTTTAGTGACAGCAACTCCTGGCAGGTTCTAGGTGAGCTTCCTACGAGCTGAGCTCCTTGTGAAGGCCTCTTTCTCCTGGATCCAATGCCCCTCTGCTTTCCTTTGCAGGAGGAAGGCTTACCTCTGACGGTTCCAGGTAAGATCTGGGCTGTACTTGTGTGTGGTTAATGAAATGCCTGCAGGGTATAAAAATGGAATTGAGTCAGTTACCACTGAGAGCACAGTCACTGCTTCATGTCGCTGAGACAGGTTACACCAATTTTATATTGTCACCTCCCTTGGGATATCTCAAGGCAATTCCCAGGAGCTTCTCACCCACCACTTTAGCAACATAGGCCTTTTTCTTGCATCAAGTGTTAATTGCTTTTTATTTATTAACTTACATGCTTGTATCATTGTCCCCTTGGTTGTCTGAGTGATAGCTATGACCACTGAATCCATCCATGTCCTAAGATGATATTAACTTAATTGACCTAGAAATTCTGGACATGGCCAACCTAACCAATACCTATTACGATGACAGCCAAGAGAATGGAATCACACAACTTGGCAACCCAGAAAGACCAATCTGCCAATAGCAAGTGGTGCCTGTGAAGAAGGGGCTGCCATCTTGGATCCCAAAGGATGCTTTAGCATCCACACCACAGCTCACTATCTCTGGGCAAGCCCATAGTAGCAGGATCCAAACCATGCAGGGTTCCTCAGAGCCTTTTAATTACTGATTTCTCTGAGATCCTGATCTCTCTGAGAGTGGAAGCTTTGGAGCCAGGTTTGAATCTTGGCTCTTTCCCTTTCTAGTTACATGGTCTTGAGCAAGTCACTTCACCTCTTGGAAACTCCATTTATTTAATCTATAAAATAGGGATAATAATAGAATCAAGTTAATATTGTTATAAGCACTAGCACAGTGCCTGGTACCTACCATGTGACCATAAAATCTGGAAACACAGATAATATTAATTTATCATGATTTGTAATATAATATTCCATAACAATGGACCGTTCGTTATATAGTTATCTTTGTTTCCAGACTTGGCAGCCACCCTGTGGTAAAGACTCACTAATAGGGAATGATCATTATAGCTACTTTGTCAGGATTCCTGGGAAATATCAACATTTCTGTATCATAGGAACCCTTCAAACTCAGACCCCCAAGAGCCCACCTACCACAACGTACCAGCTTGGATAGAACTGCAACCAGTGTACAGCAATGGTGAGGAACAAGGACCCTCCATTTTGACAAGGACCACAGGGTGGGCCTGGGAAGAGGTGGCAGGAAATGAGGACCAGCCTATGCAGGGACCTGCAGGGCTCCAGTCCCTCCAGAGAACAAGCTTTAGCTGGGGGAAGGGGGGAACTCAGACAAGAGGCAGGAACCTTGGAATGCTCTCAAACTTCAACTTCTTTCCAAGTAAACCCTGAAGGAGGAGACGTGGTATACTCGGAAGTCCGGAGTATTCAGGAGGGAAAGAAACATGCAGGTAAGACCTGAGGACCTTTGGTTTTGACAGCCCAGCCAATTGCTCAGTATCCACCCCTTTGGTAGGTCTGGGTCAGCCGGACACAGAACCACACCCCATGCTGGGTCCCTGGGCTTCTTAACTTGTGCCCACCTACACTGCTGGGGTTGATCCAAGCCCACCACACAGTGCTGCGTTCTCCATTCTCCACAGATGCCTCAGTATAACCCGAGTCACAAAACTGTCACCTTGGGCAGTCACTTAACCTCTCAGAGCTTCAGCGTCCGCATCTGTACAACAAGACAGAACTATCACTCCTTTCCAATCTGTATCAGTTTTCTATTGCTGCTGTGGAAAACGGCCACAAACTTGGTGGGATTAAACAATATAAATTTATTATCTTACTGTGCTGTAGCTCAGAAGTCTAAGACAGGTCTCACTGGGCTAAAATCAAGGTGTCGGCAGAGCTGAGTTTCTTTCTGGAGGCCCCAGGGGAGAATTTATTTCCTTGCCTTTTCCAGCTTCTAAAGGACACACCTTTCTGTGGCTCATGGCCCCCTTCCTCCATCTTCAAAGAAATGTTGCATCTCTCTAACCGTTCTTCCATAGTCATATCTCCCTCTGACCACAGCTGGGAAAAGTTCTCTGACTCTAAAGTTCTCCTTAAAATCTCACCTGGATAATTAAGGATGATCCCCCCATTTCAAGGTCTTTGATCTTAATCACATCTGCAAAGTCCCTGTTTCCATCTAAAATCACATTTTCACAAGTTCCAGGGATTAGGACTTGGACATCTTTGGGAGGGGGGCATTATTCTGCCTACCACGTTATCTCATAGGGTTATTGTGAGGATGAAATGAGAAAATAGATGTGGAAATGCTATTACAACAACAGAGTATTAAGCAGCTTTGATGATGACTATATGCTGGTTGTCTGGCTATGTGGTCAGTCTTCACTCAGGGTAGATGGTCTTTGATGATGGATCCCAGCCTGACTTCCTCCTGCTACGAGCAGGAAAGGAAAACAACAGCCTTTGGGGCAGACTTCTTCCTAACTATGGCCTATAAAAAGCGCTATGTGATTTTAGCCATTTGACTTCCCTCTCTGGTTTTCTGATCCATCTTATATAAAGTCAAATGAATTGTGTTTGTGCCCCATTCTTGGTTCAATGGCCCACCTCTAACACATATGAACTCATTCATACTTACAACCCCCTTTGAGGTGAAGATTGTTATTATTTCCATTTTACAGATACAGGAACTGAGGCAGAGAGACCTTAAATGACCGGCCCGAAGCCACATAGCTAGTAAATTGCAGAACAGTCTGTCCACAAAGTCTGGGCTCTGAATCAAGCTCTGCTCCTCAGTGTAGCTCCAGGGAGCCTTGAAGCTCATTCCAAGCCAAAAGGAGACAACCCTGTTTGAAGAATGTCGTATTTCACTCCAGTTTTAAGCCAATATAACAATAATAATAACTTGTAACATCACATCAACATGTGTGGAGCAGTTCCTATGTGCCAGGTACAGTTCTGAATGCTGTAAATAAATACACCATAAATATATATGCCATAAATATATGCACACATATATATTTATAGTTTATTTATAGCACTCAGAAGTGTACCTTGCATGTAGGAGCTCCTCAACACATGATAGTTGTTAGAAATCACACACACACACACACACACACACACACACACATATAAACTCAATTTACAATAACCCTGTAAGGAGATGATATTATAATTCCCATCATATAGATGAGACAACCAAGGCAGGAGATATTGAGTGACTTGCCCAAGGGTTGCACAGCTGACCCAGGGCTCTGTCTGAGGTGGTCTTGATCCAGAATCCACTCTCTAAACCACTGTCCTGCCTCTGCTCCAGGCCCGGTGGCCTCTCCATGATAAGTACTATGAATCTATGATCAAAGCACTAATAAGATAAAAGGTATATTTTTCTTTTGAGAGCCCCTAGGGAGCTCAGAGTGGGGAATGAAGTGTGAAGTGATGTTGAGGAGAAATCTGGTCAAAGCTGTGAGGCTGAGGATCTTAGGAAAGGTGCAGTGACAGGACAGGCAGGGGACCAAAGGAATGGCTGACATCTACAAAAGGCAAGGGGGCCCCGAGAGGCAGCAATGGCTGGGCTAACAGCACAGATGCAAGGAGAGAGCTCTGAGCGGGCCTTTCACAGCTGAACACTTTCCTTCTTTCCACAGTGGCCTCCACACCAGGGCTTCTCAAGAACTCGGTGAGTCCAGTGACCTGTGTGCCCTCCCGCCATGGCCCACCAGCCTCTGGCCTCACTTGTGTGCTCTTTCCCCCAGGATTCCTCTGTCATCTACTCCCAGGTGAAGGTGGCTGCAACGCCAGCCTCTCGGCCCCAGCTCTCGGCTTCCTCAGCTCCTCATAGATGAGTTTGCAGAGCTCCCTGACTGCTGTCTCAGCCTCTGCACCCCAAAGCCATCCTTGGGAGAGAGGGGACGTCGAAGTAGGAAGATTTAAACTGCCCCATGCTGCATCCAGTGGCCTCTGCATCAAGTGCCCGCACCTCAGTCTGACAGGGCCCTGCAGGACTCCCGCCTGTTTCCCAAGTTACAGCCCTCCCCTCGTGGTCTTTTTGTCTGATGACGTGTTGCTCCAACCCAGGGCCCATCATGTCCCCTGGCTTCCTTAGTGGGCTTCAGCTTTGGTCACTATTCTGAGTCCTACTCCCATACACACCCCCACCATTCCTCTATGAGGACTGCTCCTGAACTCCGCCATGGACATCCTCTCTCAGTGGGTCCATTTCTCAATCTCTGTCAGCCTGGTGGGGCTACTGTGGTGCTCTGCCAAACAGGACAGCACCGCCCCTGGAGGCACATACACTGGGCTTGTTATGGACCTCTCCATAATGGGACTGCATCTCACACTCCCCCATCTATCTGAAACTCTAAGGTCAGCCCCTGACACCAGGATAACTTCTCTCCTGCCCATGTGCCAATGTCTGCCTGCCCAACTAAGTGGATTGCACACCCCTGGCTTCCCATCCTGTCAGAAGTAACCCAGCACATTCATGGCCGGGAGGACCAGGAATGCAGAGAGAGTGCATAATGGAATATAGGTGGTGCTCTATTACTATTTAATTGAATGAATGAATGAATGAATGAGGAAGATACAAGGGATAATTGTGAAGCATTCCTACCCTCCAACTGGCATTTGATCCAGTGTGCTCCCTAGGAAATCCAGGAAGTACTCTTCTGTCTTCCCTGAGTAAGAAATAAACTAAGAGAAGGAGTTTGAGTGAGGAAAGCTCTGTTCAGCAAGCGGGAAGGCTTCTCAAACTTTAATGTGCTTACAGGTCACCATGGGGATCTTGTTAAAATGCAGACTCTGACTCAGTGGATTTGGGTGGAAGTTAAGATCCTTCATTTCTAACAAGCTCCCGGGGGATGCTGATGCTGCTGGTCCCAGCACCAGACTGAGTACCAAGGCCCAGTGGGTCTTGGCAGAGTCCTGTGGAGAAGCAGTGTGAGCTCTGGCTGCCCACTACCTAACTGTATGGGGGCCCTTCATGCAGGTCACACTGCTCCCTGTGCTGTCCTTCTGCTAGAACACCACCAGCTGCTGTTCCTCAGAGAACTTCTCCATGACGTGCTGGGTTTCATCAGCCACCCTGGGTGGAGGAAATGCAGCTGCCACCATCTTTGTTTCCCCACCTCAGCCCTCATACTTTCTCATGAAAAGAGGGAAGGAATATACTATGAATAAATATATTACCCCTTAGCCTTCTCCCGTCAAAGTTGATCTATCCCACCTCTGTGCTGTGGGATGTTTTGTTCCATAAAACAACTTTTATGATGCCCATCACACCTTATCTAGATCTCCACCTCCAGTGGATTGTTCAGTAGGGATCATTTCTAAGCTCCATTGCCCTGGAATAAAATCTTTCATAACATTCAAGGTCCTTCTCCACCTGGTGCCACCTACCTACCCCTCAGCCTTTCCCACCCTTGTTGCCCTCCACACCCTGCACCCAGACACAGGGTGATCTGCTGCATTCCCTAACACAGCCTCTCCACACTTCCTGTTCCTCGAAAGCCTTTCCTCGTCATTTCCATCACTGGAATCCTGCTCATTCTTTGTGCCCCAACTCAAAGGTCATCCTCTACCAGAATTAATCCATCTCTCCTTTGGGTTCCCATTGCACTTTTACACGATGATACTTGGAATCACCAACGGTTAATATTTGGAGGGAACTTAGAGTTTATCTAGGCCAACTCTCTAGTTTTGTAGTTGGAAATTAAGAACTAGAGAAGAGAAGCAACTAGCTGAAAATCACACAACTATTAGTGGCAAAGGCCATACTAAACTAAACCCAGGACTCCCAACACCCAGGGCAGTATTCTTTCCTCTACACAGCTCCTCTGATACAGGGACTTGGGCATTTCTGTTTCCCCAGTGAGGTTGAGAGTTCCCTAAAGAAAAGCCCGAGTCCAATTTGTGCATATGCAAATCCCAGCATGGTGCCTGGCATTCAATTGGTGCTCAATGAATTGTTGTCATATTGAATGTCAATTAAGTCCCCCTGCTGAATAAACATTATCTCCACAAATTCATCTATATCTTTACCTGCTCCCTCTTAATCCAAAGAAGTGCAATACGTGTACTGAGATCTCAGAGTTTTTTAGAATACCAATAAAATCATTTCTACCAATCCACCTCTCAGTTTAAGATAAATATTATACCTTTTTCAAAATATGCATGTAGGTATCTCAGACACAACATAAAACCCAATGTTGTCCCCATAAAACTTGTTCCTCTCCTGTATTCACTCTTTTTCCTTCCTTCCTTCCTTCCCTCCTTCCTTCCTTCCCTCCTTCCCTCCTTCCTTCCTTCCTTCCCTCCTTCCTTCCTTCCCTCCTTCCCTCCTTCCTTCCTTCCCTCCTTCCTTCCTTCCCTCCTACCTTCCTTCCTTCCCTCCTTCCTTCCTTCCCTCCCTCTCACCTTCTTTCCTTCTCTCCCCACTTCCTTCCTTCTTTCTTTTAGATGAAGTTACCAGCCTCTACCCAGTCACCCAGGATAGAAGATACATAGCCATATCTGAGTCCCTACATTGAACTGGTCACCCAGTCAAATCCGGTTAACTTTATTTCCTAAATATTTCTCAAATCACGTCATCTTTTCTGTCCCCACTGCCCCTGCCTTAATACAGGCCGCCACCACCTACCACCAGGGCTATTGTAGTAGCCTCATAACTGATTTCCCTAACTGTAGACTCTCTCCTCACACAACCATCCCCAACAAGGTTGCTAGTATGATCTTTCTAAAATCCAACCCTATTTATTCCTCTGCTTGAAAACCTTCTATTTTCTGGAGTTTAGACTCTATCATGGGACACAAGGGTCTTCATGTTCTAGTTCCAACTTACATTTCAGCTTCATGTCCCAATATTCCCCTTAACCAAAAGGACCACATACCATGTGCTCCCGACACACAAACCTCTCCATTTCCTGGAAAAACCACTTCCTTCCAAGCAGACATGGCTTTGCACATGCTATACCTTTTCCTAGTGACTTTCCCCTTTTTTGTCCCCTCTGTCAAACTCACTCATCCTTCAAGACCTAGTTCAAATGTCACCTTTCAGTAAAGCCTCACTTTTCCCTCTGGGTTTTCATAACCTTTTGAATCTACATTTCTTATTGTCCTTACAAGAGTGTGTGTGTGTGTGCGCATGCAAGTGTGTGTGTGCATGTGTGTATGCGCTTCTCTCCCTGGACTACTTAAAGCCTCTCCAGGGTTGAGTGTTATGACTAGTTCTAGTTTATAATCCTCCCCCCTCACATTACCCCCAACACACAGCACAGGGCCTGGTAAATCATAGATGCTCAATTCCTAGTGAAACAATGAATGTGCAATAGTGATGAATGGGACTTTTCCTGTTTTCTCAGAATAACACTTGAAACCCCAAGCTGAACTCAACAGTTGATAGTTACCCCCATGTTCTGAAGAGAAGCTTCTAGACACATCCCCACAGGATTGACTAAAAAGTGGCCACACCACCTTTGAGCACTTCCCTGGCTCCTTATATATCTTTTATCAGCTGATGTCTAGAGTTCATCAAGGGGGATGATAAGGGAGGAGATGGTGATCCAGTGAGGGGTGCTGGGCATTTTACCTCCCATCTGAACTCCAGCCAGGGGAAGACAGGACTCCTAGACAATTGCTTAGAGAAGGGAAGACAGCACCTCACCACTCAAGGAGACTTGTTGAGCCTCAGGAAGTCACTGGCCCTCATGGGGTGGCCTCCAGAGGAAAGCCCAGTGAGAAAACTTTTAAGAGATCTTGACATGAGTGCCCTGGAGTTTGAGAATGTCAGAGAGGAACATCTTCTTCCTCACTTCTGTTGTTTCCTCCCATGGGGAGGGAGTGTAACACTCTTGAGTGAGGTTTAGTGTGTTTAGAAGGAGAACATGGGCATACATGGTCCCACCCCTCCGTCTGCATTTCTGATGGCCAAAAGCAGCCCACAGGAGCTTGTGTTCTCCTCTGCTTTAAGTTTGAAAAGGACCTGCGTTTACAGAGGGGTGGTTATGGTTTCACAGGCATAACCCCAACCTGAATATTTGACACGTGAGGCTTCAAACCTTGAGAAATAAAAATAGATAAGTCAGGGGAGCAAAATGCACAGCAAGAGACAAAGGCTTCTGCTCCAACCGGGGCAGATGGCTTTATGCTTTGGAGGTACTTACCAGGCTCAGGCCCTGTGGGTTTTACTGCAATTTTTTATGGCAATTGACTGAGAGCCACCAGTCTGTTCGGAACTGAGTGGGGTTTTGGCTGCTGAACCTGGGAAGGGAGCTCTAAACCTTAGGCTGTAGTGTTTTGTGGCAAGCCTCTAGAGTTTGGACAGGCTTTGACTAAGGTCTATGGGCCAGGGATGCACACACTGACCGTTAAGCAATGGTGAGCAGGTGCCCTGGACTCTTCGGCTGGAGTGGCCCTAGATACGGCTTGCACTATTCCTTTGGTTGTGAATTCAGCCAGCTTCTCCTGCCTATTAAGGGTCCCAGTTCCTCCTGGCACTTGGGGGCATGACCTCACAGCACCTCCCTCACACACACATCATGCACCTCCCACCTCTGCCCTGGGGCTCCCCTCTTGGGCTGAAGTGCAGATGTGCAGAGAAGTTGACCTAGACAATGGGATATTGGAGTCAGTGGATAAATTTTCCTCCTTTTCTCCTCTCTAATGGCTTCCTCAATGCACTACTCAGAGATACAAATGCCTTATGTGGCATCCCTTTGGACATCCTGAGAGAACAAGCAATCTACTTGTTGCAAAGCTATGACCAAGGTAGGTACACACACCCTCAATTGTGTCCTCCTTCTTCCCCAGCCTCTCCATCCCCTCTCACTCCTGGGATTGCCCTGGGATTGCCCTGGGATTGTACTTGCCGTAATGGGTAAGCACATGAGCTTTTGTTTCAGGCTATTTTCTAGGGAACCAGAGCTAAGATGGCAGGTTCCATAGGCCTCAAGCCACAGAGTGTTTCAGCCAAATGGTGGCCATGTGGGAGCTAACAGTCAGATGCCCAGCATGAGGCCTCAGCAAGGGTGAGGGAGGGTCAAGGGCCTCAGCAGATGGGAGGGGGTGGAGAGGGCCTCAGCAAAGCAAGCAGCCTTGAAAAATACCCACTTTTCCTTCAACAGATCTGGCTTTCTGGAACAGCTATGGCTGTGGCAAAGATTCAACCATAAAAAAAAGAAATTGTTCGTGAAAGGCCTTTGACATATTGGGAGCCAGGGCAATATTTTCTGCTTTTAATCTAAGGCAGCTGACTCCTTGTGTGTCATAGAGCTTTTCAAGCTGTTATGTGTTGGGTCCTTGCTGAGACAGGCAGAGCTGGGTCTGCTGATCCAACCTCAGCTGAGTCTTTCAAACAGGAAACCAGACACCAGAGACATGAGCCTGAACTGCAGCCAGGTGCTGCTTCACAGAGCATGAGGGAGAGACGTGCCCCTGTGTCTGCTACAGAACTGTAGCTAACACAACGATGGAGCAGAGGAAAGCATTCCCCAGGAGGTGGGATTTTAGGCCAAATTGCAAATCAAGAGATGCCAACAGGAGGAGTAGCTCACAACCAAAGGAAAACCTCTGTTCCAAGTCTATTAATGGAGGCCACCATTACCAAAAAAAGCTCACACCCAGTGCAGCTGTGAGAAGGCAGAAGCAGCAGGCTCAAAAAAGGAAATTTTAAAATTGCTCAGTGGGAAAGAAAGGCTCCTCCTAGGTGGATTCCCACCCCTTCCCTGGTATGGTAAATGCATCGTGGCAAAGCACATCTCTTGCTGAAAGATTTCTTCCACTTGAGTTAAAAT